CCATTGTCACGAAGGCTGTAGTCTTGAGCATGTACGGGATCGGGGAACGGCGGGAGGCTACGTGCATATCTTGAGACTCGACCATCTGTGCGGTCGTTCGGAGGAGGAAGACATGACGTCGCCAGAATGCGCCCCAGGAGAGTTTCCTCTTCTGTATCCGTAGAATAAGGAGTTGGACTGGCCAGAGAAGGGACCACGAACCGTGTGTAAAGTAACTGAGAGTTAGTCACGCAGACGTCAGTCATTGAACAATGAGATGTGGAGATCTGAGCAGCAAAACCTACAGCATGCAGAAGGGCTTATCCCAGCCCAGTTCACCCGCGATATATACGGCAGTCTCGGTCTGTATCACAAAACTTGCTAAACTCAGTAGGAGGAAACCGGATGCAATGATGTATTTTCGCCGAGTATCCTGCTCCGCGGTTTGTTCCGTACCACTACTCCTAACCGTCGGCCTTCGGGTATGGTGATGCAGCATAGGCCTGCCTTCCGAAGCAGCACCATTACCGAAGCTGGCATTTGAGAATCGCCGTTGCTCATCTTTAAGTAGCGGTTGTTGCGAGTGGCTGTCCGTAACGGACCGGTGGATGGGGGGTCGATTCGTGGTCATTTCCTCATCGGAATCGGGGGCGTCGAGAACCGGCTCGGTGTCCCTGACCTCCTCCTGTCCCAACAGGTGCGAACTATCTGAAGCCACCATGTCTCAATCTTCCGTAAACACACAGAAAATAAGGAAAAGAGTAAAAAACCTTCACTCAACCACTGGATCCCGTGCGCAGGAGATCCAACCGGAAAAGACAAAGGTAAGGGGGGAGGAGTTGTTCAATCAACTCAAAGGTTGGCGTTGCTTTATGTCGACGACGGATAGAGTAAGGAGGGGAATGCCGAGGCGGACGCAGTAGCCTCCATAGAATTTATACAAAAACGAGGGAATCGGAGGAAAACCAGAGCATAAGGATCGGAATCAGCATCTAGCACTTTCTCGAGAAAGAGTAGATTAGGAGATTTTGGTCGGGGGACCTGCAGCTCATAAATAACAAAACCGCCAGGGGATCGTTGCTTGCTGCGGCCACGTTTGCGCCAAGTGTTTGGGTTAAGTTTCTATATGGTAATTCGAATGACGGGAGAGGACGGAGGGAAAAATGAAAGGTTCTTAATTTGGGGACTAATGGCGCAGGAGGCGGAATGACACCATGTAAGGGGAGACGTTGAGATTGAAGGGAAATTCAAAAGGACAGGACAAGTTGAAGGTCAACTCAAATGTAGTCCGTGAGCCTTTTGGCCGTCTGCAGCGAATGATTTGAGGATTCCAGAAACGGGGTTGCGCGCTAAGCCCCTTGGGGTCGTGGCGGGACAGCCACACGTGATTCCGGGTGGGACGCCTGATCACCTTCTATATTTGGCCAGGAGTTCTTGGCGGCGTTGACTAATCTGCGTCAATGGCCTGAATCGGTGAACTGGCCGAGCATACACAGTAAAACAATTATGCATGATTCATTCTGGTCTCCAAGGCCAAGCATCGATTACGTTTCCTATTAGTCAAGCCTTCCTCATACTGAGCTAGTTAATGCGCAAACCGAAAATCCAATCGCTTATTCCCTGTCTCCTTTGTGCTTGCGATGTAGTCAATTCTCTGCTCCTCCGTCATCCCCGTCCACTTCCGGTCTCGGTGACGGTTACGCAGTATATAGTAGACCTTGGTCAGGGCGTACACAGCGATGTTGGTACACACCAGAGCGAGAAGCACTCGATTGCCCTGCACATAGCGAGGAGCATCCCCTGGAATGGTTGCCTAATTAGCCAAGGAATTCGAACGCCATATCCCTGGTGAATGGCTTCGGACTCGTCACACTCACAATCTTGGTAGACATTCGACGCGATTATCCCGGATAGCTGCACGCACATGTTATACATAGCCGCGGATAATGCCCGGGACCGCACACTGTTGGAGTTGCGAGAGTTCCATCCCGCTTGGAGTGCATGGGCTAGGAAGACATAGCTGTTAGTTTTGATCTGATAGAAACGGTATTGGTGGAACTATTGAACGTACGACTAGGGAACGAAAGAATCAAAGTGAGGACTGTCCACGCAACCCATCTCTTGGTCTGACTGAAATCGACTACATTCATATAGATAAGCATTGGGAGGGTCCAGGCTTGGGCCACAGCTCCCATCCATGCCAGGGACCCGAGGATCTCAGCGGCGTAGGTGAGAATGATCCTCGTTACAATCCCTATGACCTGTTCATTGGTCAGAAAATCGCCAGGTAGCTCGGTATTGGCATAGGGTTTAGCCCACGTACACTGCATGGAATGGCGAGCAGGATGACATTGAACTCCCCGAACCCGAAATCAGTCATTAATAGCGTAAAGTATTGGGAAATCGTTGCTGTTCAAACATTTTAGGTTAGTAGCGTTCGGTGCTGTATGACAAGGGCACAACTGCTAAAGAGAGCGGTGTACTAACTATATGGTACCAAGAATATAAGACCAATCATGTAAAGTGGCCACAGGTCGTAGTCTTTGAAACTCTGCCACACAAGTTTGGCTGTTAAGGGTTCGTTGCTTCCCATAGAGCCCTTACTTGGGTCCTCGCGGATAATTCGATTGACCAGAATTACTTCTTCCCTATCAGCCATATCCAGTTAGTGTCACCCTTGTACAGGCGCGAGGTCCAAACACGGGGCACGTATTACCGCTCCGTAAACCAGCCCTTCTTGCCCCGTGCCCAGCTGGCCGTCTGCGTCACAGACGGTGGCAGGAAAAGAAAAGATAGAATGGCGAGAAATAAAGTGAAGGAGCCCTGCATGCCAGTCAATCTTCGTGAAAGCACTTGGGAAAAGGAGAATTTTTAAAGTACTAACCTCGATTAAGAAAAGCCAACGCCAACCAGCCTGGCCAGCATAGCCACGGAGATGCAGTATGCCATACGCTAGAAGACCTGCTAGAACGTCCGCGACTGCCTGTGCAGAATACCAGAACCCTAGGCGAATAGAAAGCTCGTGATGCTTATAAAAGTAAGAGAGGTAGAGGATCATCTGCATCTGTAAGTGAGAATCCAAGAATATCTAACAACCAAAGTCACCTACAGTGGGCGTAAAACCTCCTGAAAATATACCAACCAAGGCCCGACAAACCAGGAAAGAAGTCCTATCGCGCAGCCAGAACTGACAGAGAGCCACCAATGACCACGAAGTCATTTGTATGGGAATCCATCTATCGACGCCAATATATTTGCCAATCAGCTGGGCAGGAATCTCGCTTAAGAGATAGAAGAGCTTGAATATGGTATTTCCGAGGTTATAGTCTGAATCATTTGAATCAATCCGTTAGTTTGGGTTCATCGTATCTGTGAGCTCGAGAATGCTAACCATTCCTAGATAATCCGAGATCAGAGAGGAAATTATCGGCGTTGGCTTGCTCTGTGTGGATGCATTTCTTTAGATGATGCCGATCTTATTTGTAACGGGTAAGGCACGTACGGATATTCGAGCGATCAAGCTCCAGTGCTGTCATCATCATGCATGCCAGTACCATGATTCGCATGTCGAGCTTTCTGACAGTTTTCTACATGAGGGTCAGACTACAGTTGTACTCTCCCACGTGAAACTAGACTTCAACTTACATTCTCTTCGCCCCAGGTCCATCTTGCTGATGGGTCAAAGCGGTGAACGTTCTCCCATTCCGGTCGGGGTCTATATTCAGAGATAAGTTCAGGATCGTCGAACACTGACGGCTGGGTTGCGATGGCATTTGGGTCATAGCTTTTCGACCGCTGGAACCAAAAGCGACGGTTGTCAGAGGTATCGCCAAGTGTTGAATGATCAGAGGAAGCAGTCGGCTTTATAGTCAAGGTGACTGGGTCCTTCTCAACGTCTGATGTTGTTGAGGAGCCAGTTTCTGCTGAGGCGATGGCATCCTTTTGTAGTGAGCGAGCAATAACAACCGGCATTTTAGTCCTTTCAGCAAATGGCTTGAAGTCCCGGCGGCACTGATGTTGTCTTGCCCGATTTCGTACAGGGCCATGATGTTTCTTTTATAGCCTTTCATCTTTCAGTGTGAGTGATTATAATAACTTTAATCTAGCTCAAGGGGCATCACTTGTGGGCAAATGCCACCAACGCTTTCCGCCACCAGTCCCACAAGGTATCATGAGACTTCAAGACTCGATGATTAAACGTTGGAAAGCGATGCAGCTTCAACTACCCGGCCCTCCAGCAATTGTGGAAGCCTGGAATCTCTTGGGTAGGGTCCAGACACTCCTGATCCTACTGACCATGTCTTCAGGGCTCAGGCATCACTAGCCTATGCTAAGGTGTCACTGCGGCATTTTTGTAAAGCACGTTTTGCGGGTGGAGAGAAATGGAAGTCCCGAAAAACACATCGTAGCATCCAGGCTAGCCTGGGTTTACGATATCGGTTCATATCTTCTCTTCGATTGGCTAAGTTCTTCACAATCATCAGAACAGCGACAGTAACCTCGGCAGATGTTACGGCGTGCGATGCCTTGCAGTTACTCCTGTTGTTAGCATCCTGCGCAATATGTTACATATGACCGTTGCCAACAGTTACTTGTCTGGAAGAGCTGCAGATGGTGGTTCGACATTTGTAGATTGTCACATTCCCCACGTTACTTCAACCACCTTCCTTGCATCAGTTCGAATCGAGAGGTTGTTCACTATCTGCTGCAAGGGGGAGATAGGAATGTACTTTCCAGGCCATGCAGTATGTGAGGACAACCAGGCAGGCAAATTCGGACCAAGCCATTGGCAAAACTTGAGTCTCTGCGAAATTTGTTGGAATTCAAGAGAAAAGTGAGGTAGCAGCCGGGCATTTTGCGCAAGGACTATGCACGCTGTTCAGCTGGAAGCGATAACTCCTTCTTGGTGGCAGGAAAAGAAGTCACATTTCACAGATCTGGAACTTGTTGGAATGTAAGGGACTGGGCCAATGACATACTATTGATGGTGTTATTTCTTTCATCATTTGTTTGGTTTGAGGTATAGAACCACTACTGTCCGCAATATGCCCGCCACTCTTGCATACGGAGATATGTACTCACCTCGTGATCTCAAAGACCGCTATGTTTCCCGGTCGTAGAAGCCCAGTATACCAGTATCATTTTACATGGTGCAGGGGCCTGGTCCAGCCGTCTACTACGACCTAGAACCATACTGTAGAGCTAGTACCTGGCGTGGAAGTTGGCTTGGCGGCTGGGAAGGCTTTGCGGTGGTATTTATTGGATCGATTCCAGCTCCATTGCGTTCTAGAACTAGTAGTCTATACTGCGTGCCAAAAATAACTGGCTAAGGCACGCCACTGAAACACCAATCAAGCGCGTGAGAAAGAGCTATGAACAGGGGGCTCTACGCTGCTCACTTCGGGCCAAACAGGGCCTGCTGGGTGTTATATGTGTATTTCAGATCGAGGTGCCAGTAGTCCGGAGCAGTTGGCTTAGCGATTAACCACGCTTTGTCCAACGCTTCAACGACCTTCTCGGGCAGAGGACCTTTCTGGATGTCTTTGAGATTACTTTCCAGCTGCACGAAGCTGCTCACGCCAACGATAATTCCGTCGCGGCCATTATCTTTCATATTAAGAGCCGAGTGATGGTGAATCCAGCGAATCGCAGTCTCGGGGAGTGTCAGGCCATGCTTCTCGACCTCAGGCTCGATGACTCGCAGCGCATCGAAGGTTGCATCCCTGAAATAGCGTTTGCGGTACGGTACGCCAGTGGTGGATTTGTCGCTGTATCTTCCCTCGTCAGGGATGTCTTTTGTCTTATACTTACCAGATAAGATACCACCAGCAAGGGGGTTATAGACTACGATATCGATGCCATAACGCTTGCAGGCGGGGATTAGCTCGGTCTCAATCGAACGTGCTAGGGTAACACCGGTCAGTGCCACTCAAATCGAGGGGAAACCGGCTGCTGGGCCCATTGGTATGAGAACAACTCACTAATGGCATTATACATCGCTTGATATATTGTCGGTCGCACCCAGCCCCTCTCAGCACAGAGAGTCACGATTTCTGCGACCTCAAAGGCCGTGTAATTACTCAGACCCAGCTGAACAAATTTGCCCTCTTTATGTAGCTTGTTGACTTCCTCCAGAGTCTCCGCAAAAGGAACTGATCTATCCGGAGCATGAAGATAGAAGATATCGACCTGATTCGTTCCCAGCTCCTTCAGAGAAAGCTCGAGCTTCTCTCGGACCACATTTGGTTTGTGTTCGCCCGGGTTATGAGGATACCATTTCGTTGCGAGGGTCAATCCACGCTCTTTCCACTTTGCCTGAGCTGTAAAAGCCTCCTGCGCCCCGTCAACGTAAATCCTAGCCGTGTCGACTTCATTGAATCCCTGCTGTTGGAAATAGTCCAGACACTTGTTGAATTCTTCGAGAGACGTGATCCGAGCGCCCTTGGACTCATCGGGGCCGAATGTCATAAGGCCTAGAAGGGCCCTTGGCAGGGGGTTCTGCGCGACTAAAGGCATACTAATGCTCGAGAAATCACAGGGTTCTGCGGGGTAGCCAGATCTCAGTCACGTCGAACATACATGGCTACCGTCCTCCACATGCTGGCAACATGACATACCTTAGACAAACTTCTCTGGTTCTATGAAGAGAAATCAAAGCAGCGGTAGGGGAAGTAGCTCGTCCAGTAAATGTGCTTGCGGGGTACAAGTGGTGGAAATGTCGGAGATCCTCATAGTGGAGATAAGAGTTACATCACGTCATTGGACTATCACCGTCTTTCATTGATTCCGAGGCTCTGATTGGCTGATATCATCAGCTGTGTAGAAATATGGTAATTTTTCCAGGGTTCCGATGACAGAAGGTTACGAAGATCAGAAAAGCAGTCAAGTCTGTCAAGCTAATCACAAAATTACTTATGCAGTACGACTTCAATTATGATAGATCGCGCATTCCGATTCGTCGAACTGTAATTACTAACACAAGATGGACCATGCCTACAGACCCAAAATAGATCTAGGTTTCCAAGTTATAGTACAGTCTTTAAACGAGTGTCTAGATGACTCCTTAATCAACTTGATTGTGAGTTCGATCCTCTGTGTTGAGTTGCTTTGAGGTAGGAGGTGTCGTTTTACCCCTCTGCTTGTATTCCCTGATTTTGGCCTACCTACAACCATCCATCTAAGTAATTGACAAACATAACCCTGTACAATTCGGGATACCGCCTCTGTTTTTGCAAATAGGTATAAAAACCCGATAATGGAATGACGGCCCAGTGACCTCGAGACCAGATGGGTGTCTAGAGCAAGACGTTGGAGATGTAGTATATATGCAAAGAAAATTTCACGCCAGTGAGACCAGTTCTCTGGGTAGACCTGGGTTTGGTGTTTTCAAGGTCCAACTCACATGGATTGCAGGGTTCTTGTCTTACTCTCATCTTCCATTGGGTGTTGTTGTTTTGCGGAAGTTATCCAAAATATGCACTGAAACAAGTCATGTGGCTCAATGCTACCTATATAAATGGTAGCCTACCCATCTTGGATCAAGTATGACCATCTCCAAAGAAATTTCCTGGCAATACTCCTTACCTATCCGTCCACGTAAAAACGAAATAATGACTGTCGCCAGCCACTACGGTCCCGACCCCAAAAATCACCCTGACCAAAAAGAATTATCCAATATCATGCGCAACCTACAGTCCAGCCCTGACGGCAGAGAAGAAAGCGTGGATCGAGAAAAACAAGGAGGCGAACAAGGAAATCATCCAGGAGAATATTAGGAAAATGGAAAGTGGTGAGCTAAAGCCGTGTGGGGTTGTTGTTCGGTCGGATCATGATATTAGTCCTAGGTAGAGAAGGGTTTTAAAACATCACAGTGTGGTATGACATGTTGAAGCATACGAGTATCTACAAGAGAGGTTCGAGATTATATCTAAATATATATCACTCAGCTCTGCTGTGCGACAAAACCTGGACATTGTTGTCATATCCTATATACAAGCAATACACAGGGCATTTCTATCCTGTCGATCCTCGGCATTGGTATCAACTCCTGTGCCACCTTGCTCTTTGCAAACTATTTAGGCGGCACCATGCCAAAATTCATATCTCCCTGCGCCTGATACTGGTTACCGCCTACAATGTTCTGTGTGCCCTCAGCGAACTGAATGTATTGCTGATTGTTATCTCCGTACTGACGGGCAAGTCCGGCCTGTCCAGCAGGCGATGAACTGTCACGGGCCTCACGGCAGTTTTTGGTCGCACTTATATCTTTAATCCACCGACGCAGCTCTCCACAGATAGCCACAAACCCAGGGTCGTCGACACCACTGAACTTGGTCATATCCATATGATTACTGTGGATTCCAATAGGGACATATCCCGGTAGGACGGCCGAATCCTGTGGAACCACCTATTGCCGAGACGTCAGCATTCGAGAAGAGGCCCGAATTTGCATGACTTACAAAACCAATCCCCAGCACGGGTAGCTCCTCATAGAAGCAAGTGACCTTAATCGGTGGCGGTTCTACACTTCGCACCATCGTGTGAAAGCCTTCTTGGATCCGCGCAAGGACCTCGGAGTCGCGTTTGAGAACGTTGACAATGTCGGGATTCGTCTGCTTGACAAGGCCAATTGATCGGGATACAATCTCAGCCCATCTAGCAAGGCCCGCTCCATGGTGCGGTGTCCCAAGAAAGATAATACCACGAGTGGACTGAATGATACCGTGGAGATGCGGCTCTGGTCGTTGTTTCGACGTGAACAAGGCCTGGGATGGGCATTAGCACAGTCCCCCCAAAATCAGACGATACGTACATCCTCGCAGACCAGCCCGCCCAAGCTATGGCATACAAATATAATCGGTCGTTCATTCTGTGTGTGTCAGTGTGTTATAGCGTCAGTAGCGGTGACCGCCTTACCGTGGCGTCGTTGTCTCGGTACGTTGAAAGAGATGCCAGCAGATTCCATGCGTGGTTGGCAATAACAGATTGCGATACTACACCTCGCCAGTCCGCCACATATGCGTCATATCCAAATGTGAGGATGCGGGCTGTCGGAAGCTTGGCTGGGAGGAGGGTTTTAGGCCAAGGTTCGCCCTCGCCTGGGGCAGTCCACGTCGCATCGCGATCGCCGGTCAGGCCGTGGACAAATACGATACTGGGAGAAACATCAGCCATGTTCTCTAAACCCTGAAAGGCACATACTCAATCGTCGCATCATTTGGGCCACAGAGCAATTTGAGTCCGGCAGGGAAGGTCTTTCTCGGCTGGCGTTTAGATGTACTACCCTGACCTTTGGCTCGGAGCCGTAGCCGGTGTAGGATTTGTTTCGTCGTCGTTACGCCTAAAGCCATGGTGTCTTTGTTTGGGCCGTCAAAATCACAATCCTAGGTATTATTTGCCATATTAAAGCAAGGCTGGCAGGGCATATTTAATAAGAGGAAACCCTGTCAATACTGGCGGGCGACAGCGTATCGTGACGCCCTGATTGATCCCCTTGAAGAGGAGAAGCGCTTCCATCCGCCATTGAGAAAGCAGAACAGTTCATGTACGCTCTCAAACTAAGCGCCAGCCTCATATATATTTTGGGAGACACTTAATGTGTCAAAGAAGATCCTTCGCAGCTCGTCAACATCGGCGGAGCTTAGCGCTCATATCTCGCCCTATACTTTTGCCGAGAGGAGGTGCCTCGGTATACTAGTACATGGCACTCGGGGGAGTCCGAATTTTGTCCTGGATTATAGCTGGCTAGATCTGGATGGGCCAATAACAGCAAACAGGGGGTGTTTGTGATATATTAGCAGCTCTCTTTATTTAAGTCAGTGCGAAGCAAGCGGGCGCTTAATGTATGTAAGGTGAGGAGTCGTAGCAAATCAAAAGCTTAGGGCAAACCAAAACGCTGCCTGTCAATCGCACTGCCTAAATTAGCGCCGTTGATTCATAGCACCTTGAGATTTATAGGGCCAGAATAGAAGAATTATAGTTTCGATAAAAATTGCATTCGAGATTCCACCTCGCTACTGCGCAGTATTAGTGGTAGGAACGGAGCGAGCAATCACAACTGCAGCCCCACATAAATCCCTCGGCGGCTACTTGGACGTTGAGGAAGACTCCATGTAGAAGCACTCCAAAGAGTGGAAGGTGCTATGGAGACTCTCGAAATATTCCGATTGCATACTCCGGAGTACACTGACTCCCTAACTCCTCTTCCCCACTTCTTAGCGCCAATTGGGGGATGTCTGTGCTGAGCTGACTGGCCATAATTATAAACGAGCGACGCGCCAAGCACGGAGGCTATAAAAGTCCCCCTCACAACCACCACAAGATCGTTGGGCAGATAAGCGGCAAACCCGAGTGAAGGGAAGTGTTGTGCATTGTATCGCCCCAAATCATTCCGTGTCTGGCCCTCTACTTTTTTTCTTCTGGCACGCCCTCCCAGCGGCGAGAAAGGACTACGCTTTTCACCAACATTACGATTGAGCTTAACTGCAGCAAGTCCAGTCTAAATGTTGTCGACTCAATCCGCGGCCCAGTCTCTGTCCATCATGTCAGAGTCTGATATCTCTCGCCAGATTACCGGCCTCATCGAGGTCACAGAAGGCATAGTCGAGGCGTATAACCCGATCAAAGACCTCTGTGGATTGCCCAAAGCCTTCCGGGAAGTGAACAATCTACTTCCTTTCGTCCAGCAAATCCTTCGAGATGCAAAGGCTCCGACGAAGAAATCCCTGTCCACCAACGAATTTAAGGCGCTGAAGGCTATTGTGTCTAGCTGTGCTGAGAAGGCTGACAAGCTGCTGGAGATCTTCAAAAAGATGGCGAAGAAGACAGATGGCCAATACAGCTCTTCCGTGTACCGGGCAATCGTTCTTAATCAAGGCAAGCATCGCGTCGAGACGCTGATGGACGGTATTTTGCGGGGTCTAGAAGCCCTTGTTAGGAGCCACATATTTCCGGTGGAAATCCAGAGGCAGGTCAAGCCATTGGAGGATGCTCGAGCGGAGCTGGCGAAAGTGTCTCCATCATTGACTGACTCCGATCTGGCCGAGCAGCCCGGTACTGCCAACCAGTATGGAGATAAATGTCGCCAGTATAACGTGTTCGGGGAAGGCACACAAAGAATCGCGGACGGTCACTATTTTGAGGCAAAGGGGAATCAGACTTTCGGTATGATGCCACCTCTGGGCTCTATTAGCAGCTCTGGAATTACCTCAACTTAACGGGATTCGTTGCTGTCCCCGAATCGTTTTCTTAAAACCTTGACATTGGGTTTATACAAACTTTACGTTTGGAACAATCTTGTTCGTTCGTTAGTGCGTTATGGGGAATAGTCCCTAGCGACCCCCACGGTGCCAGCGCTGTGCGACTTGTTCACCGCGTTGCTTCCGGCCATTCTCGCAGTGGATAGAGGAGGTATCCGAGGCGTGATAGCCCTGCAAAATATTGTGGGGCTTTGACATATTTTTGTTCATTTTAGGTTGTCTGTCAGCTATCGGAGATCTCATCCGCCCGCCATTACCTGCGTGGTAGGCGGAGACGCACAGGATCCTCATGGCCCAGATATCTCCCTCCGCTGCTATTCTATAGTCTGATCACTGCATAAGCAGTTCCTGCTCATTCCAAGTTAATTTATAACTATTTGTGTGTGCTTAATGGCGACAAATAGAGCCTTGTGTTCATTCGTGAAGAGTTTAGCATGGTACAGTACATTATAGATGCCCCACTAGCAGCCAAGTCTACTGCTCTTGGGGGTTGAGGCAAGCAACAACAACAACAACAACAACATACCCCCCCCGGTGAAATTGACATGGCAACTTCCAGTACACAGTAGCATCCAGTATGTGAGCACATCGTATTGGCTCATCTAGTATTTAAACTCAAGATAAAGGATTTATAGGAGAGAGAATGGATTTTTTTAAGGCCCCCTGCCAAGCTTAAATACGGGGCCGCCAGTGCCCTAATAGCGACGATCCCACCCCAACTGAGCATCGATTTGTTCCTATGTCAAGGCTAATGAATACCCACGTAGGCTGCCTGGTATGTCAGCCGTGACCACTTTATCTCATTAGGTTGGCGACAGAGGCAAAATTGTATTTATTTTTCGAAACAACAGCCATTCTCTCCCTCACGATAACTATCCTACCCCACGCTTAGCACACCTATACGTCGCTCTTCAATATGAAGCTTGCCTCGGGGTTAACCCTCACCACGTCTGGCTTCCAGTTGCTTATGTTTGGCCGTCGGAAAGAGGGTCTCACCCCGGACCAATACCGCGACCACTACGAGAATGTCCACATTCCCCTCATGAAGAACCTCACCGGGGATACCTTCCCTCTGACTCACGAGCGACACTACGTGAAACGAGACGGGCCGCCTGACTTTCCTGCGGCTGTTTTAATGGGCAACCAGGCGGACTTCGACTACGACGCGGTGGCGGTACTCACGTATCGGGATAAGGCGCATTTTGACGCCAACTGGGCTTTCTTTGAGGACGAGGAGACTTCGAGATTGATCAAAGAGGACGAGGAGAAGTTCTCCGCGTGGGTGACGGGTGTTTTCATCGGGCAAACGATTACTACTGATACGGGAGATACGCCCAACTAAGAACGGTCATGCATCACCATCCAAAAGATCATGAAAGAGCTCTCAATCTATCAATCCTTATTTTTGTCTGGACCGCCACTACTAGTGCTAAAAGCAAATGTCTTCTATTTCTGAGTGGATCATATCGGCTGTCGGAAGTAGTGCTAGTAAAGACTAATATAATTGACTCTTTTCTGGCAATTCTCGTCATCCATTTTCGCTTGTTCTAGTCTCTGTTTTGGCTGGTCTTCGAATTATTTCGGCTCTGCTTCCCAATAAAGGATCTAGGTAGTATTTCGAGAAGCCAGGTCGATCTTATTGTCCCATGGAAGCAAGCGCCCTAGGTTCCGGTGGTGTTACTGGAAAACCTCTTTCAAATTGCCCCCTGCTTCTTACCATCACGAGGAATACTAACAAGTCGACAAAGTACATGTCAGACTGTTGTATGTTGTGTTTTTACCGCCTGAAGGAAACCTAATAACTTGAGCAATATTGGCGCGAAAGCTGTAACGTTCTAGAGATAAATGCTGTGAATCCATGTGTCTTTATATACAGATACAAGACTATCACAAAGAGCATCCAAAAAGGACGTTGATAGATATTATACACGATGTAAGTACAACATGAGCTATAGAAAATACAAATATACGAGATATTTTGGATGGTGTAGTATTGTGGAATGAGAGAACATCGCCTTCTATCATCCACGTGAAATGTTAACCATCAATAAAATCAGGGCATAGTATATGAACTGGAAGTTCCACTTTCAACCGCTACCACAGCAGGGGTTCGCCTGGATTCCCTATCTTTGGATCTTCAAGGTATCCACTATGTAAAGACTAGTAACTCCCGATAGTCAAATAGGTATTTATATTGCTGTGGTTACCTATACAATGCACCTCAAAGCGGAGGGTTATGCCTTTCTGGCAGCGACTGTGCATTTTACTGGGGGACTCACTCCCTTGTAGTATGACCACTCTACCCATGAGGGTAGATACTACAATGCTAGCGATAATCGAAAGTCCCACGGATACTCCAGATGAGAGTATCCGCGCCAGGAACACAAGGTGTTCGAACTAGAATCACTACTTCACTCGGTAAGATTACCAAGGGAGTATCGCGGCACAAGTGTATTGCAAATTAAGACGTATAGATCGGTAAGACATAATCTTGTCCGAGGTCGTTATCCGTCAAGTATAAGCTAGGCACAAATACCTACCATACTACTGATCGTGTTGATCAGATAAGATAAGGGTTTTCAAGATCTATGGACTCGTGGAGACTTGGCGTCCCACTTAAACTGCTTTAGTCTTTGTGGGACTAACGGGAGATGATCGACAAAGGGATTTCCAACCCTAGTCTCATTTGTTACGACGATTGATCCAGGTTTGCCAATTCCACTATCGTTCTACATACACAATCGGAGGTTTAGTTCCACACGACCCCCTACAGCGATTCCGGGATTATGTTTGTCGGTCGTATGGACGGATGGTCAAGAGACATGGTGAGTATACCATACCTAATATCGCGCGTCTTCTGTGAGAACATAGAGACCATACCAAAAGTGTGCATATACAATACGGAGTATATCCCGTAGTCAACCGTGATGGCTCACTAGCTTGCCCCACGAGAGACAAAGGGAAATTATGATCAGTGGTACCTTACCATTTGGCAACGGTTAGACCCCGCCCAAATACTCAAACGTGAATAATTACAGAGTTACCTTCTACTGCTGACAATTACCTCGGGTGCTAGTGGTAGCTTCTGGTATACTTCTTAAAATTTAGGCTAAACTGCTGTTCTAAATGTATTTACATGATACAAAATCGTCTCACAAAGTGTTTTGCTATGTAGCGGCCAAGGTTTTAGGATATGGACCCTTGGGGCTGAAGCCTCACGACCCACTGGCGCCAAGACGAGTAAATTATTTTAGTTTGACATTGGTATGGATTAGTGTTTTAAGTTAGAGTTTAGTGTTTGAGTTAGATGGTGGTAAATCTACTTCTACTCTAGTGGAATCATTCCGTGTTGTTTCTAGCCCTCAAAAAGCCTGGGTATTAACTTGGCAGGGTCCCCAGGAGTTTTAGGGAGGAATAGCAATCTATCATGTGAGGGTATAGTCCGTGGTCAATAGTTGAAGCTATACTAAGGAATCTATGAGAAGGAATGAGCATCTTTAGGCCTCCGCATAAATAGCGATCGTAGGACAACTTTCCATGTAAAGCAACGAAAGGATTGCACGGTCTTCCCGAGAAATTCCAACTTAGTCATTCTTTTGCCCATTCGCTTCTTGTCTCGTTTCATTCTTTGATGCAGTACCATTCGATATGAAGTCTGCGGTCTTCAGCCCCATTCTCTTCTCTCTGGCTGTGGCCCAGAACTACTCACTTGATAAACATTTCGATGTGCAATCTAGTCTCATTACCGACCCGAAGGAGGTCTCTGAGAAGACCTTTGATTATGTCATTGCTGGAGGAGGCTTGACCGGTCTAACAGTTGCGACCAAGCTGACAGAGAACCCCAATATTGAGGTTCTGGTTATTGAAAAGGGCTTTTATGAGTCCAACTGTGGGGGCATTGTCGAGGACCTGAATGAATATGGCGACATCTTTGGTACCGATGTTGATCAAGCCTATCAAACTGTTTCCCTTGCGATCAACAATCGCACAGAGTTGATTAGGTCTGGAAATGGCCTCGGTGGGTCGACCTTGGTCAACGGTGGTTCTTGGACTCGCCCAGACAAAGTCCAAATCGATTCTTGGGAAAAGGTCTTCGGCAATGAGGGTTGGAACTGGGATGGCCTCTTTGAATACATGAAGAAAGCGGAAAAGTCTCGCCCGCCAAACGAGGCTCAGATTGCCGCCGGTCACTCTTACGATCCTGCTTGTCATGGAACAAATGGCACTGTTCAGGCAGGCCCTCGTGACAATGGCAAGCCATGGTCCCCTATCATGAAAGCCCTTATGAACACTGCATCAGAGCGTGGTGTTCCGACACAGCAAGATTTCCATTGTGGGCATCCTCGTGGTGTCTCCATGATCCCCAATGCTGTGCATGAGGACCAGACTCGTTCAGACGCTGCACGTGAATGGCTGCTTCCAAACCACGAACGCCCTAACCTAAAAGTCTTGACAGGTCAACGAGTTGGAAAGGTTTTACTCAACAAAACTGAATCCGGGGCTAAGGCTACTGGACTGAACTTCGGTACCCACAAAAAGGTCAACTTCAATGTATATGCGAAGCATGAGGTCTTACTTGCAGCTGGATCTGCAATTTCGCCATTGATTCTGGAATGGTCTGGTATCGGCTTGAAGGATGTTCTTAGTGCCGCCGGTGTTGAGCAGGTTGTTGATCTCCCAGTTGGTCTCAACATGCAGGACCAGACGACTACCAACGTCCGTTCCCATGCCCAGGCTTCTGGTGCTGGACAGGGTCAGGCGGTTTACTTTGCTTCTTTCAATGAGACCTTTGGTGATTACGCTCCTAAGGCTATGGAGCTCCTTCACACCAAACTTGACCAATGGGCAGAGGAAACAGTTCGCAATGGTGGTTTCCATAATGTGACGGCCCTTAAGATCCAGTACGAGAACTACCGCGACTGGTTGCTGAATGAAGATGTTGCCTTCGCGGAGCTTTTCCTCGATACCGAGGGCGTGATCAATTTTGATCTATGGGACCTTATCCCTTTTACTCGCGGTTCTGTGCACATCCTTAATGGCGATCCCTACATTCATCGTTACGCCAATGATCCCAAGTTCTTCCTTAACGAATTCGATATCCTCGGCCAGGCCGCCGCCTCGAAGCTTGCCCGTGAGCTTTCCAACGCCGGTGAAATGAAGAAGTACTTCGCTGGCGAGAGCATCCCCGGTGACAATTTGGCATACGACGCTTCCTTAGAGCAGTGGACGGACTACGTCAAGAAGAACTTCCGTGCCAATTGGCATGCTGTGAGCTCTTGCTCCATGATGGCTAGAGAAATGGGCGGTGTTGTCGACTCCGCCGCTCGTGTGTATGATGTCGAAAACCTCCGTGTCGTTGATGGCTCCATCCCACCGACCCAAGTGTCTTCGCACGTCATGACCATTTTCTATGGTATGGCTCTCAAGGTTGCTGATGCCATTCTGGCGGATTACTCCAAGAACTGATAGGTTCACGTTTGTGCCGTTGTGATTCAACTGTGAGGGAATCATTCAAGTAATTATAGCTCCTCTTTATCTTTTCTGATTCTTGTATGTATATCATTCATTCCTGTATCTCGTGGCCCTTTCTTAGAAAACTACATATTCGGTATAAGTTTAGTAATATAAGATCCATAATTTATCTTGTGGTGTTTTGTGGGTTTGGTGCATCAATTGCTTTCTGAAACGAAGTAATCTACCGTATGGTTTCACCTTTCGCGTAGTAGATCAGTTGTTCTCCTAGTGTGAGCCCAACTGACCAGCGAGTAATCGTTGTTCGTGTCCTATATCGCTTGATCAAGTCATCACATCTGTGGCTGAGGATCATAATATCTAAAATTGCACGCTAGAAACTTAACAAACCCGAAGATCACAGCATGTCACCACCCACAGGAGCAGTCAATGAGAGGCTCCATAAAGTCAGGACAGTAGAGCGCACCTTTCATCCTCCTTGTGGACAATGACAGCGTCGATCAATCCATTCATACGCAATAGTGGGAAGACAAATCCGAAGAAAATGCCGTACCGATCTGCTCTGTACATGCACCAAGAGCAAGGGATTGGCGATACTTCCGTGGTGGCGTGAACTAGGACTAGAAAAAACCGGAGGATGATCATATCTGATCGGCATCCAAATTACTCTTTCTTTCCTTCTTCTTTTCCTCTTGGCTTTGTCCTCTTCGAGGTGGTTTTGAATCCTACGCCGTCTCTCTCCGTTCGCGAGTCGCCAAGAGGGTTAACATGCATTATTTCTGCAATAAGTCTGCGATCCTAGTTCAATGTCTGTATTATCTTTATTGTTATTTCTAGACATCAATAGTATATGTCTCATTTCATATACATTATATAAAATTAATGCCTAGTGCTGTGGGTTTATTGGAACTTGGGATTCTTGGTTGGAAGGCATAGTTCCGTTCTCCGGTCACAACGGGTCGCTCCAGAATCTCATCATGGCAATGAGCGACCAGATACAGATACCGGTGAATATCAACATGAGACAATAAAGTTTTGTAATCTTGTAGCCAAGCAACTAGGCGTGTTTACCTGTGACAGGGGAAGCCCTGCCGAGGGTGGAGCTGGAAAGAACACCAGAAGGGAATGGCCCTGCCGATCACTGTATACAATATGTCTCAATGTCGGCAGGATACCCTTAGATCTTGCCTATATAACAGGCCTCTTCCTCCTGCACGTTTAAAACATCAGTCCCTGGACACAGAATACATTCTCTACTCTACCAATTCGGGTAGGTAAAGGTACGATCACCCGGAGATCTCCCAATCCAACTGTTGAATGCCGTTCTTAGTGCCATGAGCTGACAAAGTGTCTGGTTCAGTATAGGCTCTTTCTGTTCGAAATGGTTGTCTTCGGAAGCATGCGGCTTCCTCTTCTGTTGTTGCTGCTGAACGCAACATTTGGTTCGGCACACCGCTGGTTCAACTGGCAGTATGAGGTCGGCTGTGAGTCCGATACCTTCATCGCGCCGGCAGATGAAACCGGTGTTGCCGACTTCCTGAAGAAGGAGTTCCCTAAGCAATCTCTCATCAAGGTCGTCGGTAATGGCCACGGTTTTGGAAACTTGACTACCTGTACCAACAAGGGTTCCACCAACAAAACTTCTCACATCGTCAGCCTTACCAACTTGAAGAAGCTTGAGATCAACAAGGACATGACCGTCACCGTCGGTGCTGGCTGGGATGTCTATGATCTGGTGAATGAACTGAAGAAACACAACCTGTCCTTTGACTATCTCGGTGCCATGCGTGTCCAGAATATTGTCGGTGCTATTAGCACCGGTACCCACGGCACGGGCCAGAACATCACCAACATGGCAACGCAGGTCGTTTCTCTCCGTGTTGTTGATGCTCGTGGTGATATCCGTACGATCGACGCACAAAAAGATGCTGAAGAGATGAAGGCGTTTCGTATTAACCTTGGTGCTCTCGGCCTGATCACCGAAGTCATCCTCAAGGTTCAGCCTACTCATTTCCTGAAGAAGACCACGAAGGTGCTGAATGCCACCACCGACTACAACAAGCTGTACACGGAGCTTGCGGATCTCTACAAGAAGCATGACCGCATGACTGTTTGGGGACCTCACTTCAACTGGGACGCCAAGGCTGAGGACTGGGTCATCGAGCCTACTTTCTACGCCAGCTGGTGGGAGCCGACCAATTACACTGGCGTCCGCAACTGCACCCTCAACTACTGCGCCAACGGCTGCGGTGACTGCATCAAGGACTATGTCTGCTATGACGAGACAAGTGATGCAGTGTCGTGCCCTCCCCAGGGTATCTGCTCGAGCCAGTTCTACGCTGAGATTGAGCACTTCTTCCCCATGGAGCACTTCGTGGACGCCGCCGTCAACTACACCAAGTACCAGCAGGCACAGACCCCGAAGATGAAGGGCTTCGAGAACGAGAAGATGATCTTCCAGTTCCGTGCTCTCAAGGGCGATGACTCGTATATGTCCCCAGCCAACACCTACAACCTCGGCTCCGAGAACAGTGGTGTTTTCGGTGTTCTGGAGATTGACTGGATGCAAAAGGTGAACCACTGGGGTACTTTGTACAACAACCAGCAGTTTGCCTATGACTTCCAGGATGAGTTTGGCTCTGTGTATAATGCCCGCTCGCACTGGAACAAGATGTCTCCCAACGACCCCAAGCACACCTTGGCTGTCTTCCCTAAGCTTCCTGAGTTCCTGAAGATTCAGGAGCGCCAGGACCCCAACTGCCAGTTCGCCAATGAGTTCCTGGTGAACCAGCTCGGTATTGAGCGCTGCCGGTCCGCACTCAACCTGTAGTCTGAGGATTAGTTCATCGATTGGGGTTTCTTTATTTCTTCTATATTTCTCCGCCTCTTATTCTTTATCTTCTACTCGCGCACAGTGATGCAGCGTGTTCTTTTGCCAAACATTTTTTTTATGGATGGTCTTTTCATTTCCTTTCTTGCTATCTTTGAATACTGTATTAGTAGTAGATTTAGTGTCACATTTGGATTTTATAGAAAATATTTTTGGAGAGGCATTCTTGGTGTTCCATTCTTGATGTAGGCTGTGCAAGTATATATATTCGACCAGGTATACGCCCAGCTCTATCTAGCCCATTTGTGCAAAGTAGGAAAGGAAAACTGAAGTCGAGAAAAGGAAAGATCCAAAAAGATCAACTAGCATTTAGAATTCCACACACATACACACACAAAGCCAGCCACAACACACAGCTACCTGCTAATACACATAGACAAAAAGCACCATGATTCCAACAAGAAGAACAAGCCATGCCTTACCGATAAAAACGACATTATATGCGGAAATCTGCGAGTAAGGCCTAGCGTCTGATCTCTTTGCCCTCAGTACCTTTGTTTCCTAGGCAGTATAAAGATCTATTTAAGGAATAAAGACCTTTTTCCCACCTGATACGACGCTTCGTCATCATAGAATGGCGTACGCCCTACTTTCAGTATCTGCAACCCTTGAAACGTTACATTTGTTACATCTCATTCATTTAGGGGGGCGAGGTACCTTTCAGCATAACTTGGATCAAAGGTTTATTGTCCAAATTCGGCTTTCTGAACCCACAAGAACAACAGTCTTTGTATGGGCTCACCCATATAAAACGGCCCATCTTCCTACTACACAGCCCAAATCGACATCCTGCTAAACAACCATTCTGAGATCAGTCTCACGAAACCATTCCCAAATCATCTTTGAAGTCTCCATATAGTCCTCCGTGACAAATCCCCAGGAAACCCACTCCCCGCCACAAACTACTAGTATCTTAGAGCCCTCTCTGAAGTCTAGATAATCCTACATAATAGCGAAAACCACCAACCACCATTTAACAAAAGAAAAGATGCAACTCAAACTCTGGCTCCTCATCTTCTTCGCAACATACACCCTCGCCGACAAAGAATGCAAACACAGTAATACATTCACCAAATGCTACTGGGAGGGAGGTCTCTGGTGCAACGCCAAAATCCAGATAGAGGCTAAGGGTAAACCTGGATATACGTACATGTTCTCCACGGTAAATAATAACCTGGAGGACCTTAAGGGGACTATCAGTGACGATTGCTATGAGGCATATGGGCCCAAGTGCTGGCTTGGTGGACATAGGAATTTGTGGTGTTTGTCGAAGTCCTAGTCTTGTGTGGATGTGTGGTTATAGTGACTGGGGGGGATGTCGTGGGTGTTGTTGTTTGTTTGGGTTAGGGTTGGTTAGGTGTTGTGGTGGCAAGGAAGTTACTACTACGGCAATGTTTAAGCCACAACTAAATAAATGAAAATAACTAATATAGATCTTAAGCTTTTACCGCTGCATCTTTCATCCTAGAATCAGATAGTTGTATCTATCGTATAGTTAACAGGTCAGTTATAATTACTAGATATTTAGCCACCAATGGGAGCCGCTTTTTGACAAACTTGACTATTTAATTGTGTATTTACTGTACAGAATTATATCTAGTTCACTAAGATCCTGGTAGAAATATCATTTCTCGCCGAATCACTTGGATATAAATCAGTTGCCCTAATCTCGTTTATGTAAGAACGGGTGTCCGGGCAAGTCCGTTGCTCACAATAATCACACCCTAATCAGACCCTAGGGCCTGATTTGCCTGGGTCGCACCTTATAGAGCTATACCGTAGGCCGGGCCCCAGAAGCCCTGCTGTCAGCCACGATGACATATTAATTTAGGGCTATTATCTCTCATTTCTATCGTCAGCCAGGGTTACGCTGTATACCAACTGCACCGCTAAGCTCCGACTGCCGAGAAGCTAAGGTGGGGGGCACGGCTGGTCTATACCCTTTTGGTCGCCCCCTCTATGTGTCAAAAAGGGAATGATATAACTATTCATCTTGCCCCCCCATTTTACGACTCTATCAGGTATCCAAAGGCATCTTTCAGAATGGCTGCACCAAGCAAAAGTCGGCTCAGTGTCCTAATCATCAATCCAAATACATCCACGCACATGACGGATGCATTGAAACCTATAGTGGACAACCTCGGGTTTGCAGATGTTCAATTTGACTACTTGACGGCTCCGAATGAGTCAGTCACCCTTGAAGATGGGCGTGTAATAGATGGCGTGCCGAGTATCAACTCAGGCGAGGACTCTGCTACATCGGCATTGCACTGCAGACCCTTTGTGGAGCCTCTTATTCCCAAATACGATGGGTTTCTCGTGGCATGTTATTCGGCTCATCCCCTCGTTGGAATGCTGAAGGAAGCCATCACGAAATTCGAAAGTTCGGCCCTGTCAGGGGACTCGAAACCAAAGAGGAAGTACGTTACGGGTATCTTCGAAGCGAGTGTTCTCATGTCGCTGTCCTTGGTTGGCTCGTTTCACATGGTTGCAGGCCCGGGGCTGCACAAAACGCAATCCAAGGAAATGTTCGGAATTATTTCTACGGGCAGCATCTGGCGGGATGAGCTAAGCCGTGCTGTTGAAGCATTCCTTGTGAATTCTGATGATAATACAACGTCGACAAATCGTTTTGCTGGTGTAGAGACGACCGGTCTAACCGCCGTTGAACTGCATACCACGCCAGCCGAGGAAGTGAGGAGGAGGATCAGCGAGGCGACGCGAAGGCTTATCCAGACCGCTCCACACCCGCTCACGGCAATCTGCATGGGATGTGCTGGTATGGCTGGTATGGAAGAAGCAGTCAGGGATGGCTGTGTTGAAGCTTATGGTCGGGAAGAAGGAAATCGTGTGAGGATCGTTGACGGTGTGGTTGCCGGTGCCGGGATGCTTGTTACGGCTTGTAAAGCAGGATTTTGAGGTCTGGATAGTTAGCTTTCAAGTTGTGGCAATCATGAGGTCAATGCTCCTTGTTCGGATTACAATCGACCGGTGGTTGGGGCAACTTGTTTCTTGCTTAAGTTCAAGTTGAACTCTATGAACAAACTCGAGGTCATATTATGCTTGTCAGCATCCATGTTTGGCATCTGTTCATATTCTTCTGGCCACGCTGACTTTTGACTATACATTTTATGATTCTGAGATTCCTGAGCAGGTGATCTGAAATATAGTCTCTATAAACACAACGGTTACATGATATGCACTCTATTTGTGAGTACGGTTGAACAGCCCTTGCGCTGGCGTAAAATAGAAACGCCCTTGCTTTCGCCCTCATGGCAGAAACACTAGGGATAATATGTAGAATACACGTATTGGTTTCGGGCTCACTATTGCTATATGCATTAAATTACCTGCCAATAAATTCAGTAAAACACAATAAGAGGAGTTATGATCATTCATTGAAGCATACAAGGGTCACCTAGAGGAACGTTCATTTATACCAATTGCAGTATAATATCAACATAGAGTTTAGTGCTATCCACTAACTTTCAAGGATCTTTATAAGCTATATTAAATCCTATCGAGGTGGTGAGAAGCGTGGCATTTTATAGTTCACCGCATGGATGTATACCTGAGGCTTCCACCACTCTAAATTGTTACCCAAAGTTTCCCCGCGGGAACGCGCTACGCGTACGCTAACCTCGACTACTTGCAGTGGTCAAGCACGAAGATGCCCAGGTACGTGCCATAACCCGACCGATCTGCTCTCGATCTCTAATTGTGAAGCACTAGCGACCGTTACTAACGAGGAGAGTAGAGAAATTATCACAATTCAGGCCGGCCAATGTGGCAACAATGGTATGGAATCCCGCGATAACACCCCAGGCCACGGAACACCGTCATAACTGTGTCGAGACGGCAAACGGACAAACACGCGATGTATAGCTCTGCTGACAGGTTATAGTCGGCAGCCAATTCTGGCAACAGCTTTGCCAGGAGCACGGAATAAGTCAGGATGGGAACCTGGAGGAGTTTGCTACCGAGGGCGGTGATCGCAAGGATGTCTTCTTCTACCAGGTATGAAGGCTATTTGAACTGTCGTGGTCTATGGTGCTTGCACGTTGCGTGGAGTGCTAATGAGGCGCTTTCTAGAGTGATGATACCCGGTATATTCCCCGAGCGATCTTGCTGGACCTGGAACCCAGAGTACGAGTCTACCTCCTGCGACAACGTGACGGACATACGAGCTGAGTTTAGCGGTCTAGGTCCTCAATACGATTCAAACCGGCCCCTATCGCAACATCTACAATCCTGAGAACTTCTTCGTGGGGCAGCAGGGTGTTGGCGCAGGTAATAACTGGGGTGCTGGGTATTCGGCGGGTGAGAGTGTGCAAGAGGATATCTTCGACATGATTGACCGCGAGGCCGATGGTAGTGACTCGCTAGAGGTATGGTTTCAGGATATCCAAAAATGTGGAGGACTGGGGTGATCAACCCGGGCATAAAAGGACTTAGTGGCTGATGTTCGCTTTGTGACAGGGATTCATGTTTCTGCATTCTATTGCAGGAGGCACCGGGTCTGGAATGGGAAGTTTCATCTTGGAACGGATGAACGATCGATTTCCTAAGAAGCTGATTCAAACATACTCCGTCTTTCCCGATACTCAAGCGGCAGATGTTGTGGTCAACCCGTACAATAGTATACTTGCCATGAGGAGGTTGACACAGAACGCTGACTCTGTGGTACGTTTACGCTGATATTAGCGCTATCTTGGTGGCAATGACTAAAGCTATCTAGGTGGTTCTGGATAACGGAGCTCTTTCAAGGATCGTTGCCGACAGACTTCATGTGCTGCAACCTTCGCTCCAGCAAACGAATCAGCTTGTGAGTGCTCTTTAGCTCTAGAGGGGCTCGTGTCCAGCTAATTGGTCATAGGTCTCAACTGTTATGTCTGCATCCACTACCACCCTCCGTTATCCTGGTTACATGCACAATGACCTTGTCGGGATCGTCGCTTCTCTTATCCCTACGCCACGTAGTCACTTCTTGATCACCTCCTACACGCCATTTACTGGTGACAATATTGAACAAGCCAAGACGGTCCGCAAGACGACCGTGCTGGACGTGATGCGTCGTTTGCTGCAACCCAAGAACCGCATGGTTTCAATCAACCCCAGTAAATCCAGTTGCTATATTAGTATCCTCAACATTATCCAGGGTGAAGCCGATCCCACCGACGTGCACAAGTCCTTGCTCCGTATCCGCGAGCGGCGACTGGCATCTTTCATTCCTTGGGGCCCAGCTAGTATCCAGGTCGCACTGACGAAAAAGTCACCGTACATCCAGAACACCCACCGTGTCAGCGGACTGATGCTGGCGAACCACACATCGGTGGCAACGTTGTTCAAGCGGATCGTCCAACAGTACGATCGACTGCGGAAGCGAAACGCTTTCATCGAACAGTATCGGAAAGAGGCCCCATTCAGCGATGGATATGGGGAGTTTGATGAGGCCAGGGCTGTGGTCATGGACCTCATTGGAGAGTACGAGGCGGCGGAGAAGGAGACCTACCTTGACCCAGATTCCGGGAAAGAGAAGGAGATGGGGGTATAAGGTCAACCCCTTGTTTGTTATTTGCTTTTCCGTCTCTTCTTTCTTTCGTTCCCTTGCTGGTCTATAATTATGATTTTCCAGGTTACCCGGTGTGTTTGACTGGCATCAGGCGTTGCAATGCAGCTGTTATTCCCTCTGATAACGATAATTTGGCGTGGATGATTATTTAGGGAGAAAATGATATGAAGCTATGAACTGTAGATAGCACTCTGGTCCGTGTAAGAGTCATATTTTCCAGCATCAAGTGCTGCACGAATGGATGGATTTTACTTTGCCCACCCAACCAAACGGTGAAGTGTCCGTTCACATTGCGCTTATCTTCATCCAAGATTGGGAAAATGATCGACTGTTCGCCTGACAGATGTGGGGAAGGACTAATTTGATATGGAGTGAGGGTTTTTTTTATTTTTCCTTTTCCTTTTCTTTTTTGTCTTTTGATTTCTCCGTGTGTCTCGCCACCAGGAAAACCGGGATTCCTGTTCCCCTTGACCGCTCATCAAATGTCTCAACTGGGCTAGCAAATATTCCGGGCTAGCACAAGTGACTAGGAATGGAATTGTACGGTGAGTTGTCGTGGACCTTTCTGGGTGGATAGTTGTAAGAGGACATCAGTTGTTGTCGTGCGAGAACGAGGCATTTGTGCCCAAGGTGAGGTTTTTCAAAAGAGGGGAAGACGCCTAAAGGATAATTAAACCGATTTTCTTATCTGGATCGGGGGGAAGAAGAAGATGGGGTGGAGATCCTGAGGGGTAAGGCAAGTCCGGTACGCAGTATAAAGAGTCATGGAGCTACGAGGTTTGGTAGGTTTCTCGCGTGCATCTAGCAGGTTTTATTACTATAATTATGATCCTTATTATTATTCTGCGATGATCGTGGCCGTGTGTCGATACTAGTATATACCACGGGCCATGGTGTATGGTCGGAAGTCTATCCCATTGACGCTGCAATGGGAGAGCTACTTGCAGGTGCGGAGGTCTTGGACATCAAAAAGTACTGCCAGTGCTACTAGTTAGTAGTAGTAGCGGTCGTAGCACACACCCTCTTTCCCAACATTCAACTGAATGTGTCCCACCCCATCCGATCTTGTCCATACTAGGAGTAGTCCTTATCGCCCATCTTATGGATCGTTCTATTTTGCAACCGTACCCACTCGCCCTTGATCATGAATCATGGAGGGATGGATGATCGAGTCTCCACCCGGATTTACCGAGAGCTCATACTCCGTCCCCCAAGGTATACATCCCATGTATACGTGAACGAAGGGGGCTTTCGACGCCATCCACCTGCAAGGCATGATACCGACACGTGACCAGGGCCATCCCATGGAATCCCCTGGCACTAAGCAAGTAGACTTCACGGGACCAGTCAGGGTCACTGGATAAGGTATTGCTCGGACGAAATGCATCTGCAGCTTCAATTTTCGGGACCACGGGGGAGGCTCACTGGGTACACCGAGGGGTTTGTCTTTACCTGGTCACTTCCCAGGGCAGGTACATACATACATACCTACCTGACTACCAACTGTACATCCTGCGAGGTGATGTGCGGTGCCAGCAAGTCGGAATGGCATGCATTGGCGCTGGATAATTAATTAGGTGCTGACGGTGTTTCCTTTTATTTTGTTTTTTCGTGGTATTTCGAAAACACTGGGTTTATATATAGATAGAATAGAAAAATGGAAAAGATAAGGTGGAGGGCGTAACGTTACCTTTCACAAGAAGAGTGGATTATTGCGAGATTAATGAGAGCATCGGGCGATATGATGAGCACCTGAGGGACCGAGTCGTCGTCGTACCCCAGTCCCGGGACCATTCCTCAACTGCGACTCAATCAAACCACCACAAAAAGGGGAAAGGAGTACACTACTTAGGTAGAAAGGGGGCAAACTGAGGGAAATCCGATGGGAACACGTCCTAAAGTGAACTGTAATTAATTTAGAATTTTTTCCTTTTATTCCCTTTTGGTTTCTCATTTCTTTTTTTATTTTTATTTTTATTTTTATTTTATTTGATTTCATTTTCATCTTCTGAACTATTTGCCCTTCTATTTCCTGGATGACAATGGCCTCCTGGGTTTATGAAAACTTTAATTAAACCAGATAATTCAGACGGCCCGAGGATAGGCATTGAGTCTTGGGAGCCTGAACAATTTTGCCTCACTGGAGGCATGTATGTAGTCGTCGTCTGTACTATGGAAGTTTCTGGTTTCCGCTCCGGATTTGCCTCCACTCGTCAGAGTGTCCCAGAGCAGTAACTCAACTCAGTCTTTTTGGGAGACTTTAACAGAAGTCTGGGTACGGGGCTATACCGAAACAGGAGTCTGAGAGGCGCTAGCCCGAATGGGATTAAACGGCTACGACATCGGATCTGCAGTCGTACTGCGGATGGAGTCGTGACTCAGCAGGTCATGAATGAAGGCCTCGTCCGTATAAATTGACTTTGACTGCGCTTTCGCCGCTCCCTCTTCATCTTTGTCTTTGCTTACCAGTCTGTTCTTCGCTTCCATTGTCTTCCTCCGGTTTGTGTCCCTTCCGATTCACCCGTCTTTTGCCATCGAATCTAACAAGTATATATATAGCCTCTCCGTCCTTATCTACCTCCTTATCTACTCCCCTTCCCCATACCTCTCCTCCTCGGCGCTCCCATCTCCCTTCAGGACGTCCACGTCACCCATTCATAGCGACCTTACAACCTCACTCTCTTGACTCCTCAGTCATCACTACTTCCGGATTACACCGGAAATCCCGTGAGTCGCTAGCAATCGTTCAGCACAAACCAGAATCCGCCTACCCCAACTCGGCGCTTATCGACCCTTCTCCGACGTCACCTCGTCCGCCTCCCTACTTGCAACCACCCGCTCAACATGGCTCCCCGCAAGCCCCGCTGCAACTTCAAGGAATGCAAGGAAGCAGCTCAGCGGATTGTCGGAGACTGCAGCTTCTGCAGTGGGCATTACTGCTCTAAACACCGGATGTTGGAAGCCCACTCCTGCACTGGCCTGGAGGACTGCAAGAAGGAGTCCCACGCCCGGAACGCCGATAAGCTGAACAGTGAGCGTACCCATGTCATCAAGGGCGTATAGACGACGCCCTGGGGTCCTCCTCTTTTACTCTCTCTCCTTTTGAAACTTTCCTTTCGGTTCTTGCATCGCCATCAGCGAAACCGTTTGATTTAGCGCGGTGTTCGATTTGATTACATCATCGCCGTTGCCGGGTTCGTCCACCGCACCCCGCCGTGGCCATCATCTTTTTTTCCATTTCAAACAATATTTTTTGGGTCGGGAGGTGTTTTTTGTTTCTACGCTTGGTTTTGGTATATTTATCTTTTCTCCTGTTCCCGGTATATGCAAGGCGTTGACAGCTGTGGGGGTTTTGTGGATTATACGTTTATTTGAAGTACATTCAGCATGGGGTTGAACATCGTTTTCCGCTTTCGACCGTCCAGTGGATGGTGCGTGAGGACACGATGCGAGAACTCCCTTGATTTTTCCTTTCTACTTTTTTTTGTCCCTACCATTCTGCTCTCTCCGGTCATACGCTTGGATAGATTGGCGGTTCGAGCTTAGGCCGTTCCGTCCCATTGGCGTGTCACATAGCCAAACGGTTTTAGGTATATACTGCATATTCCGTCCACCTATTAAACGTGTCTTGAGCAGCCAACTGCTTAGCGTAAGCGGCGTGGCCGCAGGTTAGTCGCTAGCGGGACCCAGGAGGTCTATAGCTCCGGCCAACAAAATTGCAGAACGTAGCAGTGTCATATGATTTTCACCCTCAAATTCGAGCGTGATAGACGTTATTTAGAAAAAAAGGAGCAGGGAAAAAAAAGAAAAGAAAAAAATACTACTAAAAAAAATAAGGATCAAAAAGGCACATGACAACCATTGCATGAGCAAATTCTACAATCCTACCATATAAAACCAAGCCAAACAAACAATAATACCCAGAATACATGCATGGAACAAAGAAAGAGGAAGAAAAAGAAATGTAACTACTAATAATAAAAGCTGTCTTAACCGGGTCCAATTTTCGGCCTGCGAAAAAAAACGATCAGCCCAGATGTTTCATTTCCTTTAAAACGAGGCGTGGAAAAAAGCAAAAAAGAATGAGACTCGGATATGAGACAACTTACATGTCGTGATGCTCGCTCAGTCGACTCAGGTATTTGTTCAACTCTTCCACTCGCTCTTTATGCGTTTTGACCCCTTCTCGCTTGAGACGTTCTTGTAACTATGGGTTTATTGTTAGTATCTTTGTGCTCCGCTGCATGTTCGGGTTCATTGAGAAAAAAGAAGATCGTAGGAAACCCTCTCCTCTCTCTGTCCCTCTCTCCCTGTGTGCAATAAGGCAGACAAGGCAAGTCAAGGCAAACGACAGATACTATACTAACAAAAGTCCAACAACAAACACAATCCCAAACACAAACCAACCCACCCTCTAAGAGTCCACAAAAGAAAATAGAACACGAAAGCAGAAAAAAAATAATAAAACAAAATAAAATAGAACTCACCCTCTTCTTCCTCATCTCTTCATACTTCCTCTCTGCCTCCGTCTTCCCAGAAGCCCCAGCACTCACACCGGCATCAGACTCCTCATCCTGTGGGGGCAGAGAAGAAGTGGGCGGACTCTCCTTGTCATCTACTGCCTGGGACGTGGACGCCGACGGAGCATCCTCGCTTTCTTTCTTGCTGCCGCTTTCTGGGTTGCTTTTCTTGGCTTTCTTCTTTTTCTTTTCTATGCGGCCGTCGCTCACTTTGGAACCTTTTAGTTTGAGCTTGCCGCCCCCGCCGACGGAGTATTCGTCGGCTGGCATTGTGGGCGTGGCGTGGGTTGGGTGTTGTTGTACAGGTACCTAGTTGGTTTTGTTGCTTGGATGTTGGATTCATGATGATGGGGTTGGTGATTGGGTGGTGGGAGTTGGGTCATGTGACCTCGTGGGTCTAATGGATATACTACTTGATGCGGATTTGTATGGGCTGGTCTTTGAAAATGGTATCATTATTCAGTATTTACGGATTAGTTCTATGCTGGATTTGTCTTCCAACGCCAGGTTCGTAACGGTCGTGTACAGGACTAGTCAAAGGGGATCGGCCGCAAGCCCGTTCCTCGTTTGCGCGCTTCGGCTCCTGCAGCTACTGTGCTCGGCACCTTGATTCCACAGCAGTCACCAAAATGATCGGTGTGAGCGTGGTCGTGGCCATGGGTATGATCATGCTCGTCCGTCTCCACGTCGTCGGCCTCCCCCATACCTGGCGCTGCGGGTATCAGGCTGCCAAACAAGAAGTGCTGCATGATGGGCAGTTTACCCAGGACCTCTTTGACGAACATCTTCTTCATCCCGCCTTCGATCTTGCTCCAGTTCTTGGCCCCTGAGATGTCGTCTAGCATAGGACTATGCCATCGTAGACCTTTGACCGTTTTCACACTATCAACCCACCGCACCTGGTCTAGGTAAATATACCTATCTCCTTCTTCGTCGAGGATTACATTGTTGTGGATAGCCAACGGGGTTATGTAAGGGTGTTCCACGAGCTGGGCGGCGCCGAAAAGGAAAGGAAGGAAGTGGTAATCATCGAGACCCCAGACACCATGAGAGCCTGCCGGTTCCAGATAATATGCGGACTGGACGTCCCGCATGAGAAGCATGTAGTTAACGTACACTCGGAACACGACCATCTCGAAGTCTGCGGTCGAGAATAGCTGCATCTGGCGCAGGCATAACAGCCACATCATGAAATTCAATTCATGGCCTGAACCGTAGTCTAAACGATCTCGTGAACCCAGGGAGTGCATGAGATATGCTGACGCTTCTTCTATGGCGGTCGCATCCTGTATACCAAGGATCTCCCGGTGCCACTTGGCGCTCTGCGCAGCGACATTGTCAAACAAGTCGCGGAAAGCAGGGTTACCAAATCTTGAGCCACCCTGGTCGATAGACGGATGTTGATTCAGAAGTGTTCGGATAGAGTCAACAACGGAGAGGATTTTGGAGACGTTGGGGGAAATCGGACGATCTTTCGAGTCTGTGGTTGCACGCCCACGAACTGAATCGGAGAGACCAAAGATGAAAGCAAGGATTAGAGAATAGGACGGCGAGGAAAGGAACAACTGATGGTCATGGTTTGATAAGATTCGGCGAACCGGACGTGCATATTGATGGGATGATAGATCGGGGGGGTTGGAAAGCGGCGGGGTGACTGGAGCCGGTTCCTTGGACGGTCGGGAAGGTAACGCTGGTTGAGACTTGCGGTTTGAACGCAGTTCTGAAAGTTTTTTGGACAGATCAATCTTGGGTTTGGGTACTCCCTGCGATGCAGAGACCTCAGATGCCATGATGAAAGGTGATGACGAGTTGATCAGTTGACTAGTGCACACCCCACACAAGAGGTTCTTTGAATGAATAAGAGACAATCACTTGACGCGATGACATACTCCGGAGTAAGGCGGTTTGCATGGGCAGAATTCGCGCAAACTCACCGAACTGACCGCCTCTGCTCTGATCAGAGTTGCATGACGCCATGCCATAAGCAGTAATGGTGCCTCATGACGATCATCATGTGATCGACATGGAGTTTGGTGCTGAATGGTCAGACATTGTCTTGTATTCTGACCGCGTGATAATTATTGTTTCCGGGGGAAACTCTGCGAGCCAGCGAGTTCAGCTCGTTAGACATGCTGTTTGATTGAGGGGCAACCGAAGCGTGACAAGTTGGAGCCGTTTATGGTTACTTATTCCTTCTCCTCCTACTACTTGCTATCTGTTTGCCAGGGAAATTCGCTGGGTTGAGAGATTCGGAAAGGCTCTCTAGTACCCGCGACGTCCACGGACCGAATCGACTCTCCACAAGTTTCGGGTATCTGGAAATCTAAAACCATAGATTACAACGGCACCTGTCGTAGCGTGCCTACCCCTGCCGATGCGAGCACGCCATCATGGACTCCTCTGATTTGACCCAATCCACCACCAAAAGCGTCAGATCCTCCTCTCCCACGCATCGATCTTCATCCCCCCGTTCTTCTAAAAGTCATCCGGGACGCATGTCTACCTTAAATGAGCGGGATCAACCCAATGTGGCGCCTGACCAGGACCAGCCACCGCCATTCAATGAAATCACTCCGATCGTGAGCAACGGCTCCGATAGACGAAACTATCATTCCACAGAGGGTCTGAGGAATCGAGATGCTGGGTTCGGAGACAGCCAGCCGAAACGCTCTGGCCAACGGGACACAAGGGAAGCCGACCAGCAAAACCCACCGTCCGATTCGGCAGAACCCCATGTATCGTGGTTCAGTCGAATCGCCGATAGATACGGCAGTCTGGAGTTAGAGAATAAGGGGAGTGTGGCTCGCGATCATCTGGCATTAGGTGCGTCATTCCCCCCGTTTGCCTTCGGCTGGGTATTAACGATTTTATGATGGGTTGTAGAGCGAACATTCCTCGCATGGCTCAGGACATCGTTAGCGTTTGCATCCATCGGAATCGCCATAACGCAACTCTTCCGTCTAAACAGTTCAAGCTCAAGCACATCGGGCGGCGACTACGCGTCGCAAGCCCTTCCCCCATTGTTATCACCACCGTTTTATGACCCCACAGCCATGAAGGTGACTGCCACTTCCGAGCGTCTTCGGAGTATCGGTAAACCTCTCGGAACAACCTTCATTGGTGTTGCTATTGTTATTCTGCTGATTGGATTCCATCGCTACTTTGAAAGCCAGTACTGGATCATTAGAGGGAAGTTTCCCGCTAGTCGCGGCAGTATAGCGATAATTGCGTTTGTAGCCGCTGCTTTGATCATAGCCGCTTTAGTCGTCATATTAGCCATCTCACCAGGCTCTGTTGAAGCTTAGTTTTGGCGACGCAGGCGCTGCTAGTCTTTACCTTCTTTGACCAGCCCTCGATTACTTCTCAATATCTCGGCTCTTGTTCTGGTGTAACTGGAGGGTCTTAGCAAGACTACTGTGATCGAAGTTTGTAGCTCACCAAGCAGTCTCATGTAGATACGTGTATTAGTGAATATATAATATAAAGTGGCTATGCGCGTGTGAAAGACATACTAGTAGTAAAATGTTGTGTGATTGTTCCAAATAGCGGGATAGGAGTGTAAGCCATCGTAGATCGAATAGAACATGCCATGCATGCTGTGTGAACTCATTCGCCAGCTCATTGCGACTCTTTACCCTCCGACTGCAACGAATGCGGCTGCTCGAGCTATGAGACTTTGGTTCATCAGCGTGATCATAGGACCCTGTAGTTGGGAGTACTGCACCTGCCCGCAAGGGAGCTGCATCACATCCTCCCCTGGTTAGGTGGGAAACTGTCGATGTGAACACCCCATGTTTGATCATAACAATCTTAGTATGTTCCCTTTACTATTGATATATGCAGCATCTAATTTTACTTCTTCACAGCTGGAGAAGAGCCTACTGCCATACCCGCCCCCGGGAAGATATAGCTCAGCTCGATGAAGAGAACCTCGAGGATACCATCAATAAACCTTCTACAGGTTCTGCGTGCACTGGAGGTAGCTGGTAACAGTACTTCTTATATGGTACAGGTGAGCTAAGTGCACGTTAATCGGGTATCAGGTGCGTTGGAAAGATACGCTCTGCGCCGTTAAACTTCACAAGTACAGCCATGGATTCCAAACACGAATCCAAATAGTATGCCACCAGGCTTCCGGTGCCTAAGGAAAAGCCCTATGAGAGACAGTATTTGGGTATAATACAATAATCAATCTTTATGCGTCTCAAAGCTAGAGGCGCCCAGGTTTCCAGAATGCTCATCATTGATGTTTACGGCTACGACTATTAGGCTTTCCTGGAATTTTACGTCCTCGACCACGTCCCTGAGTATGAAGTTGTTGACATATTCCTTAAAGAATGTTTTGGAAAGGGTAATCAATCGAGAGACGATATGCAAGACAGCTACCTCGCTGTCCATTTTGTGGCAAACGGAGGCCCACCAGTCTCTGTGAAAGCCCCACCGAGGCGGATATTCGAAGCACCAGGTAAGTATTTGTATATTGAGATATATCCTAAGATAAATCTAATGCTTATAGATGTTATATTTCCCGTCGCTGAGCGCACAGAACTTGTGAAGGAGATTTGTGAACGCTTAGATTGCTTCGCGATAGTCAGGATAAATGGTATTCCGGCCTCAGGCAAAACCACCCTTATCAATCTCACAATCAAGCATTTGATAGAAGATCCTTGGACAGTCATCATGGATATCTATTTATCGATGAAGCTCAGGAGTCATATGCTGATAGGGAGCTACGGGCTGGATTATTCAAGGCTGTCGGACCATTTTCGAAGTGTCAGGTCCTGCTTTTCACATGATATGGCTCCCCTAATAGGGTACTTGAAGGATCCGATAATGCGAGGTTCACAAAAACCCCGATGGTTTTCGATCCAGCACAGCAGATATCCCCGATCCCCGATGATACTATGGCACCGGAGTTCAAGCCGGCTGGTCTACTCATGAGTAAATACGAGAGTATGAAACTTGTAGAGGGTTGGATGAAGCACCGCCTCTCATCAATATCTACTGGAGTTGGAACAGAAGACTTCAAGTATGGTGTCTGGCAGGTCACTCGTGGCCACGCGGGATTGATCCATATTCATACATCTCGTGACGAGACAATTAGACAATCACTTTTTTCATGTCGTTCAGGAGATGCATAAATGATTCATTATCCAGAGGATTCAGTATTCGCATGTGACCGGCTAGGGTAAGACATTCTGTTATAGATATGGAGTTACCGCAACGTGGTCGACAGACAATGAATGCTCCCGAGGGTGTGACGCTTTGCAACTAGCATTTGCTCTAGTATAGCATGTTTCCCACTATCAATGACTCACGGGTTCTAAGATGGTGGAAGATCATGTCAGCTGATGGTGCATGCCAAGCATATAGGTTGCCTTAACGTCCCCGACAATGAGTCTGCAAACTCATCAACTACCTAGGCTGTCAAGCAGCCCAAACCGAGAGTGATTTTCTAACTGCTATCGGAGGACGCAGAATATACAGGATAAAACACCCGGCATATAAGGACACCAGTACTATGTGAAATGTCAAGCCGTTGCGCGAGAGGGATCCTTTAGTCTACGTCTATAGACGCAGTCGTTCACCGCACAGTGCAGTTTCTGGAGCTTAGAGTCGGCCTCATGGAATTGATCGCGGTCTGCACTCACCACTCACCGAGCGCAATGAACTTGCCAAGTGACACACTCTCGGGATGACACATAAACCCCGCGTGGAGAATTGGCCCGTTATGCCGACGGAGGGATTGACTGTAACCTTGAAACCGGTGAGTTTCCTTTAGCGTAACCGGCTATTGGAGGCGCCGATCCAGCTGCAGGGCGATATTAATAGTGTGCTGATGCAGGGTAGCACAAGTCACGCCGGAAACGCAGCATGTTGCAGGCTTCGGGCGTACCGAATACAACCTTGCAATCTCGACGCCCTAATTTTCTTTGCTTTTTTTTTCTCGTTTCTTTGAGTTGTAATTGAAATGTCTCGCCAGCGTAACTTGGGCCCCATTCAGAGGGTGGCAAGATAGGCAAGAAAGACAAGGATACTTTGGGTGTCAGTACCCTATAGGCACCAAAAGTTGGACTTCAGCCTTCCGGGCTGTGGATACCCTACGGCATAAGGTAGTGAAATCGCCGAAACGTCTAACTGACATCACGACGATCGGACATGGCCGTTGCCTCGATGCAGAAATTTCACTTTAATGATTGCAGGGTGGATCGATCGATTTCCCAAGTCGGCTGGTTCCGTGGTTCGAGCAATCCTTCTCGAAGGAAAAACAGAATGATTCCCGTGTTGAACCGTGGATCGATTTTCAATGATCTGTACTTCCATTGAAGTTTGCTGTGAACGTTTGACAGATCCGGAGCAACATCGAGATCAACCACAACGCGATAACCAAGTCGATCATTTTCGGGAGAATATTTCCGTGGTATGGCGAAATAGGCTTCATGAGTGGGATCGATCTGGCATTTTTGGGGCGATGGCGGGCTGGGCAGGACCGCGGCCCCTTGCATTGACATGAGCTATTGTATGGATGTATTCCCGCGGTAATTAGGGTTATTTCCAATTATTATTGTACAGTCATGTATGGGGGGCAAAGAGGAGTCTCCATTTGACTTCATGCAAGGTGTTTTGTTGCTACCTAGGACCCAACGAGGGTTAACCGAAACAGGTCCGGACGGGGTTGCATCAAGCACCATCCGGGAGAGAGAATGGAGAAGCGCCTTCATCGGTTCCACCTCCAGTTTGGAACCCCATGGCCCCTTGTTTGCGGCTGATTTGTTGGATGTCACACCTCTCAAGACATCCACGCTTTCTGCAGATGCTATCAGTCCCCAGTCTTTTGGCCGGTAATGTGATCGCTTTTGTTAAATTCAGAGGTCGATGGGAATGCGGAGACACACCGAGATTGACCACTGTTCAATGAAGAGTCAAGGATAGATTAGTAGGAGACACCTCCAATAAAAGCTACATTTTGTGTCCCTAGGGAAGTTAAATTCATTAAAAAATTAAGGAGCTGTCAGGAACGCGTCCAATCAATTCCCCCTGAATGGCGGTGGATCGGCAGAGTCTGGTATCCAGGGAGACTTAGTCCGCTGAAGCAAACCACTCGGTTGAATTGCTGCAGACAGGAAGTGGCTTCAAGCCGAAAGTCTATTTAATTAAGACCGTCCAATCATCGTCGCCACACAGATGATCACGAGGGGCACACCAAAGTGAGAGATTTGTTTGAAGAATTAGTTGATAGTCACTCGTCGGGGTTGACTAATTAACTCTCTGAGAGATTTTGATGAGACGTCGTCTGGATTCCCTCTTACTACATACTACTTTTCCCATCGTGACCCTCTTGGGATGATTAGTCCCATCAGTCCTATCACACGGCCCCAATTTTCCTCTATGTTGCTCCTCATTTAGGATGATGGAGTACGAGATTAGCTGAATGGGTACTCATATTCCTTCAACCGCTTCTATGACCCCAAGACGAACCGTTCCTGAAAATAGCCCACAACTCAACTTGGATCGTCTGGCTACAAGTCCCCACACTAGCGTTAGAGCGTACGAGTGAAACATATGGACGACATCTCGCTCTCCACCCGCCTTGTTTTGTAGCTTTAGGGAAAGGAAGAAGAGCCGTTAGTGGAGGAGCATGGCCAATAGGCATGGCTGATGCTTGCTGTTCCAGGATTCTGACATGGACGATGCTGTTGGTCTGGGGACTTAGTCCTGACGGGCCAGTCCCCATGGAGTTAAGTCACGTACTAAGTTCAAGACTTGCTTGGACGATGGCCAGGGGGCTGAATCCTTCGAAGGCCGTCTGCGGCCACATGCAGGTGGAAACCACCAATCCATGTGGCACTATCTGGAACCTCAGCACTGAGCGAGTCCGAAGCACTTGTGCTAAAAGAATGTTTAGAAAACAATGGCAACTCCAAGACCATGAATTGATAAGAAAAAGATACGATGAAAGTAGTTACGATTCTTGGTGCCTATGACAAATTCCGTGTCATATAGCCGGCACCTAGTCTTAGCGTCGGTATAAGGAATTGGAGTGAGTACCTCGTCGAAGAAGCATTGTCGGATTACGGTTTCAATATTCTTTTTTTGCTCTCTTTTACCTTCTTCTTTTCATTCTTCTTTTAATCATTATTTTTACTTCTGGAATCTTTTCTCCTGCCGGATAAGACAAGACGTGTCAACCTTTGCAAGGATCACTTGCTGCACCGTCAGCCCAAGACGGAAAGTTTCATTACGCTCATTATTAGGGACCTAATGAAACTACGGCCCAAAGTAGTTAGTCCCATGCGTGTAGTGGTGGCGGCTATTCAACTCCATTGAGACAAGCGAGGTTTTGCTGCCTGCTCGGAAATTTTTCATTGGTCGGCGACTCAGGTACAGGCACTTTAGCGTACTGATGCCTGGAGGGAGTGGGTTCCAACAAAATCAATAATAGCACTGCCATTTTTATTTTTATTTTTATTGAAACAATTCTCACAGTTAGATGGAAACGAGTTTGGTAGAAGGGAAAAAAAGGTATCATCGCGGCCCATCCATGGTTGATTTAATTAGTACTTGTTTTTGTTTTCTTTTCTTTTTCCTTCATGGTAATACCAGATGACATCGGAGGTGGAATGAGATCTCAACTGGGGCTTTGCTTTTTCCCCCTAACCAAGGATTGAGCTCGTATCAGTGGCGATACACCGGTTTATGACGTCTTTCACTAAGTTCACCTAAAATGGTTTCCGTAAAGTGTCAAGCAACAATGAGATAGAAGGGACTCCTCTAGTAGTCATTCTTTTTTCCTGCAAGACTGTGTTCGCCAGCTGTCCGAGACTATTTTCTTGTCCAGGAACAATGACAACAAATAAAACAACAACAACAACAAAGGCTGCATCCATCCGAGAGACCCCAGTCAGGCATAGAACCTGGTAATTGTAATCTACCTAGCTAGTACCTCAGGACCTGTAGGTACCTAGTAACGTACCTATCAGGCCAGGGACAAATCTGGTCATATACATCCCCCATACTTCTCACTGTTCCACCATGATATTACCTTTATGATGGAGCATGTTCAGGTACGAAAACCGAAAAGAATCGGGTGAAGAGGTTCCTTCGCCCGTCCCTCCACACGACAGACTGGCGATCGGATGGAGCGGCTAAAGGGAGGGCACCACCAATAGTAAAAGCATCGCCCGTAATATAACCCGTAATTGAATGGTACGGACTCGGCCCCTCCGCGCTCCCAACCAATCATCCCCTGCGGCCATCCGTCTCTCCTCCTCTCCACTGCACGCCCAGCGCCTTTTCTACCTTTAACACTAGGTACGACTAATCTCAGCATCCCATTCACTCCTCTCTCTCCTTCCTTCAACTTCATTTTCCTTTTTCCAGGTTGATCCTCTTTCTCCTCGTTCCCCCCTCCCCTCCTCCTCTTTCCTCCTCTTTACCCTTCTCTACCGTTCTTTCTCTCGCTATCGCTGGACTGTTTTTGTTCATTTTTATTATTTTACTTCTTTCCACGCTCTTTCACTCGTTTCCCTCTGCTTCCGACGCTTCGTCCCCAGACTCCGTGGCCTTTCCGGGGCCGTCCGCTCCTTACAGTATTCTCCTTCGTAGCCGGCGTAACAAACAGACCTTTATTCTCGGCTTTAGCACATTTCCACCCACATCAGTTCATCTCGGAATCGCTCGATTGTTCAACCTCTTCGGTGTAGTCGATATACGCATCGTCGTTTTTCCGGTCCATCTCTGTTCGACGTTATAAAGTTTCGATACTTGGTGATACAAGGCTGCGTGGCTTGGGTGCAGCATAATCAATGGTGCCAATGGGAAATTGAAGGCCTCCAGACAACATCGGGCTTTCCATTGGTCATAGGGAAGTCATAGTGGTCTGGAGGTATCTGTGCGTCTGGATCACTTACTACGGGGTTAACCGGACAGTCGTTGGCTCGCCGTGGATTTCGCAATTGGGTTTTCGGCGTGATCAGGGTCGACAATGGCTTCGATCTCTCTTCCTCTGCAGCCGCAGACTACGTCGGCATTCTCCCAGTATCTCGACTCTACGGATCGGTTCTCCGGCAGACACAACCGCCGCAACCTCACAATGTCCACACCACTTCCAAACCCACCGTTTATATTCCCAGCGCGGGATCCAGATGCAACAACTCAGACTTCGGCAGCCCCATCTAGCGGACCTCCACCCCTTCCCGCCTTTTCTTTTAACCCAGGATCCGCACATTCATCGCAACCCTCGATGCCGAACCTCCCTGTGAATCGAGCAGGTGGACACCGTCGTCGATGTAGCGAGTTCGTCGGCGGGGAGCAACTCGTAAGCTCTGAGCCAGTGGAGGCGAGTCGGGGCAATGAGGTTGACTTGAATACAACGCCGACTAAGCTCCCTATTCCTGGGCCGGGTTTCAGTGCGGGTGGTCCTGGAAAGCGTCGCCATGCCCATCGGCGCTCGGCGGCGATCTCTAGTGTTGATCTAACCGCTATATCGAACACGCTCGATCTGAAGCCCGCTGTCGGAAGCGCGCCACTGTTCTCGACAGGCGCAAAGCGTGATCTTGGTGCATCTGACGAGGCTCTTAGACCCACATGCTATTCAGCAACAACTTTAGGTCGATTTACCCCGCCTGCCTCTCCCCGGATTGTGATTAGTGATGAATCATTACCCGTTGTCCAACCCGAAACAGCACGCGACCGTCTCACCGAAGAGCAGCCCATTTCCGAAATCTCGAAGGGTTCTGGAAGCACAGTACGACCGGATGATACCACTAGAAATAGTGAAAAGCCTGGTCCATTTACAAGTGAGCCGTCATCATCTGTGGATCGAACCCAGAAGCCGAGACCGAGAACAGCGGACGCATCTCTGATGCTCGATCCCAACACGATCAGTGGAACCGACGATGCATCTCGGATGAAGCGGCCTCTCTCTGCCACGGGGCACTCTCGTTTTCGCAAAAGTATATCTTCCGGGATCATTGACGCCGCATTGAGGAGACATCATGGCGATGACAGTCGCTGGGCAGAATCCTCAAGACACTCTTCTTCCGACGATGGTGATTCATATGCATCCACCGAGGATGCCCGTGGGTCGTTTGAGTCTACGTCTGCCTCGAAGAAAAATTCGAAGGCTAAGAAAAGGCAGAAGAAAGTACGTTCTTGGGCTGGGGCTATTCTTACCCGGGGAAAGGGGAAGCGCCATCAGTCGAAGAAGGACGAGACGAAGGGCGAGGCGAATCAGTCCGAAATTACACCTCCAGCAATTAAGAGGACCAATTCAGATCTCGGATCAGCAGTGGACGTGAATTTTGACGATGATGAGGATATCGTCATTATTCGGACCCCTACCAACCCCGCTGTTCCAAAATCGAATGAGACAACATCTGAACTTGAACCTCACGTTACCCTGGAAAATTCGTGGAAGCCACGGAGTTTCTACGAGCAAACAACACAGAATGATGCTCTGAGCCCTATCATCGATCTGGATGCAGCTCTGGGGCCTTTTAATACTCCTGATGGGCGATCCCGCGGTGCCCCTGAGAGCGGTTTCTCGGCAGCGACAAAGCGGATGTATAGTGGTGGACGCCGAGGCGAATTTGTCGGGCCAGAAATGCGCTATCACCGACGTACAGAAAGTGCCCCGGAAATGCCGCCTTTTGACCGTAGCTTCCTCAACCAGGCGCGTCTCGCGAATAACGCGTCACTCGAAAACCCGGATGTGTTTTACGAAGAAGAGGAAGATGCTTTTCTGGCAGCTACAAGTGAATCCCCCAGGCACAGCGATGACACTATTCCAGTACAGGCTGTTTCCTCCAATACTAAAAGCGTCGACCTCCAATCAGAGGATGGCAAAGTTAGCTCGGACACCCTTACTCGAGAACACACAAGCGAAGTCAATACACAACAGTCGGGTCTCGGCATTCAGAAGGACGGGCTACCTGAACCATCCGAGCCTATCGCTGTCTCTACATATCAGGATAGCAGCCGTCTCGTAGGACAACAGTGTGCCATTAGCCAGCTTCATAATGCCAAAAATCCTTTCAGCATTCGACCGAAGAGCCCAGGACCAGCGGAGATAATCAAACAGGAGCTTTGGCAACGCAGACTAGGAGTGCCTCCTAGTCCCGATGTTTCTCCACGATTTCTACCGGCCGACAATAGGCCTTCAACTTCACCCATCGAACTCACCCCAAATATCCCTCCCTTCTCTCTTCAGGGTGGTAGTTCTTTGTCTAACTCCTCCTTTCCATCTCCCGACTTCACTGGCTCTTCATCAGATGCCCCTCGCTCGATCACGACTTCCTCCACCACCGACCGTAAATTTTCGAGTCCTTACAACCCTTCTATGGACTTTCCTCATGCATCTGTTGAAGATGTGCCTTCGTTGACTAGCAGTGCATCAACAACGACGAATCCTCTGAACCGATTCTCAGCGACCTTCTTTCCTCGGCCCCGGCTGTCTACAGATCGCTCGGCGTCATTTTCTGCGGCCGTTAACAGGCGCAGCAGCCAGGCCAACAGTTCGAAGCGATCAAGTTTGGCCAGCCTTTCCAAGTTGGTTGTGGGGTCTCACGCAGAAAGGAGTAAGCTGAGTTATGAGGAAAAGCCGCCGAGCGATGAACCGGAGAAAGGGAAAAAGAAAAACCACCGGATCAGCCGCTTGATGCATTTTTGGAAGACAAAGGACAAGGACAAATTGAATGAGAGTGCAGTCCCAGAAGAACAGCTGTCATGACCAAAACCTCGATCCTACAAAGGAATCCGCTTCTTGTACATAGTTATCCTGACATGATTCCCTCGACGTGGTCTTTGGAAGATCGTTTCGTTTTTTTTTCTTTCTATTGGCTTTGCCCTTTTTCATCTTATTACTTTTTCTCTATTTTCTCCAGTCTGCCCACTTGTCGCGTTGGGCTACTGACGAATCTCTTTTGATATGTGTTTACAAGCGTAAGAGTTCAATGCTCTCTTTACATCATTTCTCGTCTTTCATTAATGTCCGGTTACAATTTATGGACATATCTTTCTCTGATTGTCTTTCGTTTATCGTTCAGAGCCTTTTTTTCGTTCTTTTTCTTCTTTGCCTATTCTGATTCATTTTGGCGGTCATATGATGTGCACTTTGCCTGTTAGTCTTTTATTTGACCCATGTGGTATTCATGCCCTTGGCCATGTTAATATGGGATCTTTTCTTTCCATCTTTCTAAATTGACGGCTTACCGTTGGAGGCGCCGGTCAATATACTGTGAGGCTTTCTGATTATTGGCATCCGAGTCTACGAGCTGGAAGCTATGAATAGAGTATCAAATCTACACTCTCTGTCAATACTACTACTTGTTATTTTCAGCATTAACTGCATAGTATTAAGTAACGTTCATTGTAGGAGCCCTCAGATGTAAGAACTCTGCTGGTTTGATCCAATCTGCCATTGCAGTGGATATGTCAGCATTTGGAAATTCTGGGACGATGAAGACAAACTCCCCATTGAAGCAAGACAACTCAATTTGATCACCTGTGAGGACTAGAATGAGGGCGAATTCGTTATTGCCTTACATCTCAGGCATGCAGCATAGGAAAATGGCTGAACTGCACCGCTGAACCAAAGTACAGTCAACAAGTCAAGACAGTCCATCTAGATCGGATCTCTCTGATATCACAAAGAAAATACACTATCTCAAATTCTCATACATTGTCCCGAAGAGTCCGTTATAACTCTTCCACCCCATTTATATAAATCTTTATCGGTGCCCCACAGCCGAACCCAAAAAATACAATTCTTCAGCAAACGCCATCAACGATACCAAGTCCTTCAAATAAATAAAAAGAAGAAAATAAAACATAAGAACACAAACAATGGGACCACCACGCTCAACCATGCCCAAAAAGTCCTCCCAAGGGCAACACACCCGCGACACCAAGAAGGAGAAAAAGAAGCCGGCGCAGGCCCCTCGACGACAGGCCAAACCGCAGACGGAGTCCGAGGAGACCAACCAGATCGATCTCTCGGCGACCATTCCGGTGACGTTGCAGCAGTTACTGTTGAATGTGTTCAGGTCGGCTTTGCTGAATGACGTGTATGGTGGGAATGCGAATGTAGCGAAAAATGAGAGTAGCAGCGATGATGCTACTACTACTACTACTACAGATGCTACCAGTACCCCAGTGTCTCGGCAGTTGGATATCAAGACGCTGATCCAGACTATCAAGTCGCATCTTTACAATCGGGACTTTGACTCCGCGTTTACCGATGCGAATGAGGATCTGCTGAGGGCTTATGCGCTGCGGTGGAGCGCGTCTCGGGCGTTGGGCTATGCGGGGGTTTTTAGGTCCTTGTTGAAGGTTCTGATGCAGCAGGATGGTGGGTTGGTGTCTTCTACTGGTTCGAATCATGTTGTTTGTATTGGGGGCGGTGCCGGCGCCGAGATCGTTGCTCTGGCGGCTGCTTGGAGGGACTTGGTGGATGAGGTTGAGAAGGGGGAGGCGCTTTCTGCTGGCGTTGCTGGCGTTTCTTTGGATGGGGGTGATCGTGCTGCTGCTGCTGCTGACCAGGGCTCTGTGCCGAAATCGATAAACCATCCTGCTCTCTCGGTGACGGCTGTTGATATTGCGGACTGGTCGAGCGTTGTTGATCGACTGTCGTATACTATTCGGTCCCCGCTGTGATGGGGTCGAGATCCCATCCGGCGCCTTTGTTGAATCTAGGGAAGGGTGGTGAGGGTGAGAAAGAGAGCGAGGATGCCGATGGCTTCGCGGTTAGGTTCAGACGCTCGGATGTGCTTTCTATCTCGGAGGAGCAGCTTAAGGATATTCTCCATCTTGGCCCTTCGGATAAGGGCAATACTACCGTCATGGTGACGCTCATGTTCACGTTGAATGAGCTCTTCTCTACTTCTATGGCGAAAGCAACTGCTTTCTTGCTCCGCACGACAGACCTCGTACAACCGGGGACTCTGCTTCTTGTGGTGGATAGTCCGGGAAGCTATTCCACGTTGAAACTCGGCAAGGGTAAAGCGCAGGACGGCGCGGAGTCTGCTACAGTACAGGAACGGAAGTATCCTATGAAGTTCCTCTTGGACCATACACTTCTTTCTGTTGCGGAGGGGAAGTGGGAGCAGATCTATTCGCAAGATTCGCGGTGGTGGAGGAGAGATGTGGGTAGGCTGGGATATGATGTGGGTGAAGGGGCTGGGTTGGAGGATATGCGGTATCAGGTGCATATTTATCGGAGGTTGGCTAATTAGGGGAGGGAAGTTTCGCGGGAATAAGCAATAAAGGACGTTATTGTGAGATTAGGATTGCTTGATTCACAGAATGATACCATTACCGTTATTTAATGCAAGCTGTCTCATCCAAGGAACTTGGATTACATGTAGAGAGGAATGGATATGCTATTGCTACAAGTTGGTCGAAAAGGGTAAAGAGTAAAAGGAAAAGTGAAGCCAGCCATACAACATCATTCGCCAGGGGAGATCATGCACGCCCAGATAGATCCATCCAGTTGGAAGGTTCAAAAAAATACAACATCAATTCAGGCGAGAGTGGAAGGAAAAGTAGATCGGAAAATTAACGACACCCAGACATCGCGTTTAGCTCCTCAGACCCAGAAGAAGGCTGGTGTTCTTACCACCTTCCTTACCATCATTACCAGGGAGATATGTGACATTCGGGTTGGTCGATAGTGTCTGCGCAATTTCCTTGCTGGCGTCAATACGACGGATCTCGATAAGACCGCTACCGGCCTTGGCGACAGCTTTGCTGATGATGTCGGCACTCTCGGCTTCACCCTCCGCACGGATAACGTTGGCCTGACGTTCCTGCTCGGCTCTCTCGACGATGAAACGGGCCCGTTCGGCGTCCTGCTGGGCGATCTGCTTCTGCTCTACGGCGCGGGTGAATTCCTTTCCGAAGGTCATGTGTGTAATCGAGACGTCCTCCAATGCAATGTTGAACTGTGCTGCACGCTTCATGAGATCTGTGCGGATACGGTTCGAGACAGCTTCACGCTGGGTGATGAGCTCGGCGGCGTCGAACTGGGCGACGATGGCTTTGAGGACTTCGTTACCGATGGAGGGGAGAACACGCTCATCGTAATCGGTACCGTACGACTAAGGGGCTATTAATACCGGCCAACAATCATATCGATCTCCTGGACATGTATCTTACCTGGTAGATGGCCGGCAGCTTCGGGACCTCTGGACGGTGGAGAACACGCAGTGTCAAGCTGACCATCTGCAAGTCCTTACTTCCAGTGGTAGTGGAGATGTTACGGGGCTTAGTCCGAACATCGTAGACGATCGCCTTCTGCAACCAGGGGATAAGGAAATGGGTGCCTTCGTTGACGACCTTCTCCTGCACACCAGACAACCGGTCGAAGATGACAGCGCGGGAACCACCACGAACGTCGTAAATAGAGTTGTTGAAGATCAGGGCACCCGTGGCGACGGGGAGAGCCAGACGGTAGATGTTGTAGAGACCGTTTGCCGCCATGGTGAAAGGGGGACTGTTCAATAATGATAGGTCGATGAGGAGCTTCAAAGGGTTGGATTGACTTGATGATGTCGGGCTTTTCGCATGCTGTCCCGATGCGGACTAGTGCCGGACGGAAACCTCATCTTCCCAACTTCGCCGTTTTGGCCCGAACTCGAACCTCGTCTTTCTCTTTGCCCTTAGTCTCGTCCGTCCACCTTCTCCGCATTTCCAGTCGTTCAATTGCCAGACGCATTCTTTCAAAATGGGTGGCCACGTGGATCCTAAGAACGGAGTGTAAGTAGCCCCTGCATTTGGTATCGTGGTGGGCTTTTGCTCCCTGGGTCTTCCGGCCGGGTGCGTTTCAACTAGACCGGCCTGTGCTTTGCAATTCACGCCAGGACGGCTCTGTATCTGATGCTATGAGGGGTATAATGAAGACAGAAATGGCTAACAATATGATCCGAACAGTTTCATGGGTAACTGGGGTGGTTTCGGTAGGTCCCACGGCCCTCCCATGCAGTGAGAAATCTCGCGCTATCTCGAAGAGCACGAGCACGATCAATTGGCCGCCTTCCAGGACTAAAGCTTGGGAAATTCAAAATATGAATTCCATTGGTTGCGAACTTGCCAACAGAGAGACGCGAGATGTCATTTCCATCCGACGTCAATACTGATACCCATATCCTTTTTTAGGTTGCCCTACCCCCCAGCGCATCGCATCCTACTCTCTGTCTCCCAACCGTCAGCGCCCCTTGGCTGGTACCGCCCACGCTGCTTTCTTCAACACCTTCCGGAGATTCAGACACCAGATTCTCTACGTCGCCCCTCCTTTCATCATCGCCTACGCCGCCATGGACTGGGCTGTTGAGAAGTACGTGCTGATATTTCAGTCAATTCACAGTTAGCTATTGGTTAAGGCGAACTAGTGACTAACTTTGGACGTTTAGGAACCACTACCTCAACTCCAAGCCTGGCCGCCTTGCTGAGGGTGGTGACGAGTAAATGGTTATATAACTTGGTGCTATGATTTCAAACTGGAGGATAAAGGAGTGGGATTGCAATGTACAGTAACTAGAAGCAATCGAATGCGCTGTGTGTTCTATTGTCAGACCTTGGCCTCTTGGGTTTTATTACGCTACGATGCGTATGACTTTTGCGACTGTAATCCGGTGTGGACCTGCTCCTCGTGCCTCAGATCAGACAAGAATGCTATATTTATGCTTATGCGAGTAACGAGAAATTCGAGACGAGTACCTTACCGCCTGGCAGGTAGATACGATGTTTATATGTGGGCAGGTTGTTGGCATTGGATTTGGGAGAAGCTCCAATCAAATGACTTGAATTTGGCATAGGATCCACTGGTCATGATTGGCCAATTCACCCAGACTGCAAACAGAGTCGCTTTGGTTAGACCGATATAGGAAGGCGGTCGACCTCACTAATTGAACATCTACCATAAAGTTCATTTACTACAAAAAACACATTGTCATAGATGATCAAGACAGAGGCTACTTCAGGGAATCTCTCTCAAACACAGGAATATCGATGTTTCTTATATGATGTGCTAGAGATTCTGGTCCTGCGAACGTTCTTGGGCTAACTGTTCAATGATTCTGCCAGAAAACAATTACCTATCTAATTGGATGGTTAGGGAGTATACCTACTAGCACCCCTTTACGTTGAGTGTCTGTCAATCTCTTCATATGAACAGCTCCACAAGTCGAACGAAATAAAGAAAAACAAGCATGCTGTTGGACTTTTAGGCAGAACTGAGATGTAGCTACCGTCAAAAGGTACACTATGACTCTTGCCAATCCAAATGGCCTGTCCTAAAACACCTATTGCTGCTATGCCAACAGAAACAACGACAGACCTACTGACTCTCAGTATCTCACTCCAGCGCTAGACTATTCCTTCCAAGTAACAGCGACTGCCCAATATTTAGGGAATGCGATATCCCAGCTTGAATCCTTACGGAAATCAATCAAGATAAGTGTGGGCGGCTTAGGAATTGAAAAACCACTGCGATAGAACAACTTGTCCACAGCTATGCGCAACTTCTTCTTAAACACCGGGTACGTAGGGATCTTTCTCGTTCTTCCGACTTGGGCCCTGAGAGACGCTGGGCCCATATAGTTTGGAGTTGCTACCAACTTAAGAGACCGCACGCCCAGCAATCCATGGCCTGATAGTATCTGTGCAAGCGCATTGACATGCTCAGCAGACACATCTTCAATCTGCAACTTGCGGATAATCTGGTAGCTGTCCCCTCTGAGATTGTTAAAGAATTGCCGCAGATGAGGCACGCTTTTCAGCCCGAAGGCGAAGTTCGTATAGAGAACCTTGCGAGCTTCAGTATAGATCTGATGGTTGGTAGCCATCAGAGAGAGCCGGTTCTCGCCACGGGGAACTACATGATCGATCAGCTTTTTGCTGGCGCTGGCGGTTTCGAGCTCGAAGTAGTGGTCGTAGATGATCAGACGGAGCTCTGAGGGGAGGCCCAGGAACGGAAAGATGAGCTTCGTATTGTTGTTCCCAAAGTGCCTGTTCACTGCCTTCCAGATGTCAAAACTGTCGACCCCGTTGTTTCTGCCCTTTTCTGGGGCCAGCAGGATCTCGAGGAATGGCACCACTGTGGTGGATTTGCGTCTTCCCTCTACAATGTCTGACATCCATCTCACGAGGCCTTCTCTGACATTAAACTTGATGGATTCTGGCAACGATATCAAGGTGGCTAGGAACTCAACTGCCGTCTGGCTGAAGTGGGTCATGTCTTTGAATTCTTTCTGTTAGTGGGCATCTTGACCCTTCTCTTTGGGACATACACACACCCGTTTCAGAGGCTAACTGACGGGCTGCACTTTGCGCGCCATTCTTGTAGAAAGCGTCATATTTTGCGCGGAATAGTCGAAGGACTTCAGTTGCATGCTGATCTGCCTGGATGGTTGGTGCGTCTGTTGACAAGTTACTCATTTTGTAACTATGTGCGTGGCTTTTGTAGAAAAAAAAGGTGTGCTCTTTGGTGGGCATGAGTGTGAGTGCGTGTGCATTGTAAGTATGGGCGGATGTTTGTTTTGTGGGGATAAGGCTCTGGGTGTGACTGACCTGTAGTTGGATCAGTTTCTGGAGTTACGCTGACAGTGAATGGATTGACTACACTCACACAGACTGTCAACTAAATACACGCACATAGAGGGGATAGAGATAATTTGTCATGTTTGGTGGCTTTTGTGCATGATGATACCAGGCATGGAATGTAATGTAAAGGTCAGTCATTGTAGAAAGTAATAGGTATATTAAGGCATAAGAGAAGCGACTCCTTGTATGCCATGGGCTGTATACTTTGATAACTTCGACAAACAAGGCCATATCAGTGGATAGATACACAGATATACCCCAGGGTCTGCATAGATTCCCAGGGTTGGTATGCAGGAACCAAATATCTTTGTTTAGAAGCTGTAAGGCTAACTGTTAGGGCTGGAAGTGGTTCCCCAAGGTGTATGCTAGACTGATATTACTGTCAAGAGTCGCTCGAGTTGAATCTGTGCTTCTGTACTAGCCTTGTAGTTAACTCACCCACTCTTTTGCTTTAAGAAGTTGGGCGATATTCTGACTTCGCCCTCCTTTTACCGTACATCTGTTCTTGTTACTTGTATGCTTGTCTTATCAATGTACAAGTAGTTGTCTGATGCCCGTCGGCGATAGTTTTCCCTTTTAGGGTAAGATAGGATGGGCCCGCTAACAGTTTGTTCTTACTTCATTTCTACAAATGGACCAATGACTATGCTCAATTGAGTCTTTGGGGAAGGGCGAGAGTGGCTCAATTGACCCATCAATTGCCCTGACTTGCACGGAAGTATTCTCAACGAAACGACTTGTATGGGTTTGCGAGCCCTCCGTTAACAGAGCCCAAATCCCCACCCCCAAACCGGAAGGAAGAGGAGAAAATTTCTCAAAAATACGGATGTAACCCCAATACACGACGTTCAATACCCCAAATACACATATCGATGAACCCCCACTTGGCGCGCGCATCTTCTTCACTTTCTCTTTCTTCTCTCCTCTTCTCCTCCTTCTCTTCTTCTCTCTCTCGACGTTTACCTTCTCGTGCTTCTCATACCCTTTTTCGTTCGCACTTCTCCCACTCCATCACCATGTCCGAGATAACTCACCCCACTATCAAGGTACGTATTTTCTTCATGATCACCGTCGTCACCAAATGTGCCCCTCCATCAATCCAGAGATACCCCGCCTCATCACTAAGCTACACCTGTCAATGGCTTCAACACCCCGCTCGACGGTGACCAAATCTCGGATTGGATCGAATGAAGACTTCAATTGCGTCGCATAGCGATGCTCATCCCTTTTAATGCTTGGTATGCATTCGCTAACATCATTTTTCCTGCCCAGATGGCTGGTTCTCCGAGCAGTCCGGCATGTGGCCTGGTCAGGCCATGAACCTCAAGGTCAACCAGATCCTGCACCACGAGAAGTCCAAGTACCAGGATGTCCTCATCTTCGAGAGCAGTGACTACGGCACTGTTCTCGTCCTGGACAATGTCATCCAGTGCACTGAGCGCGATGAGTTCTCGTACGTCGCCTTCGTTCAAAACTTTACCCCCACGGGTTGAGAGGCACATCGACTAATTAAATGCAGCTACCAGGAGATGATCACCCACCTCGCCATGAACTCTCACCCCAACCCCAAGAAGGTCCTGGTCATCGGTGGTGGAGATGGCGGTGTCCTCCGTGAGGTCGTCAAGCACGAGACCGTTGAGGAGGCCATCCTGTGCGATATCGATGAGGTATACAGCCCTGGGTTCATTTCTGGGTAAACTTGAACTTACTTTGCTGTTCTAGGCCGTCATCCGTCTCTCTAAGAAGTACCTCCCCGGCATGAGCATCGGCTTCCAGCACCCTAACGTCAAGACCCACGTCGGTGATGGCTTCGAGTTCCTCAAGAACCACAAGAACGAGTTCGACGTCATCATCACTGACAGCTCCGACCCTGAGGGTCCTGCCGAGAGCCTCTTCCAGAAGCCCTACTTTGAGCTCCTGCGCGATGCGCTCCGTGAGGGAGGTGTCATCACCACACAAGGTTGTTCGTCGCCTTTCCTTCTCTCTGTCTGCCTGAGGCTACCCGAAATCTTTCGTTTTCTTCATTTCTTCATTTCTTCCCCCCTTTCCCTCCCCTATCTGTTGTCTCCCTATTCCTTTGTACTACCTGTCCCCCTTCCCACCCCTCAACGTTGATCACCTATAAATGGACTAGAAGAGCATGAAGCTAACCAGATTACGCCCCAAACCACCCGAATCCTCCGGGAATCGGTTTGGGTTAGCATTTTCACACTTGCAGCCGAGAACCAATGGCTGCACCTTTCTCTGATCACCGACCTCAAGAAGGCCTGCAAGGAGGTCTTCCCCGTCGCCGAATACGCCTACACCACCATCCCCACCTACCCCTCCGGCCAGATTGGCTTCATGGTCTGCTGCAAGGACGCTACCCGCAACGTTCGCGAGCCCGTCCGCAAGTGGTCTATCGAGGAGGAGGAGCGTCTCTGCCGCTATTACAACCAGGATATCCACCGGGCTAGCTTCGTTCTGCCCAACTTTGCCCGTAAGGCTCTGAACAACTAGATTGATATTGGTCCTTTGCACCCTTTTGAATGAAATCTGTTTGGGGCGGACGCTGTTTTCCATCTAGAGGCGCCATGGTGGCGGATAATCGATGATGATTTGATGATGATGAATACAACAAGGGTTTTTTCTCTTTGTTCTTCTTTGTCTTTATTACATTTTCCCTCCTTTGTGATGATGTCTTCCTCGTGTTCTACAGAGACGGGCAGCATTGTCCGTGGCATACAGCAATAAAGGATAAAAAGCATTTTTGTATGAAGTAGTGTGCTGCCCTTCAGATCTTCTATGTAGAGGTAACAGTAATCATCATTCAAGTCTGCTTTTAATTGAGCCACTACATACATAATACGCATAGGAATAAGTGAACTTGAACATAAACATGGTATTCTTCATTTTTGACCTCATCCCTCTAAATCTACCAAAAGGGAATTTTCAAACAAAATCATCAAACATAGGACTTCTCCCTGGGTATTTTGCTCCCAGAAATCAACATCGTCCCATGGATTCATTAAAACAAAACGTAAAAGGCATCATCACGCTAACAAAGGACATCTACAGAATCTGCTGAAAAGCACGGTTGATAGGAGAGCGCACGGGGTGGCCCTTGTAGAAGTCGATGGTAGCGAGGGCGCGCTTGCTGATACCGGCAGGGGTGAACTCGAATTTCTGTAGGACAGCAAAGTTAGCATCACGTCAACAAGATATGATAGAACTCGGAACAGGGAACGTACCTCGTAGACCTGCTTGTAAGGGCCGGAGGCACCGAAGCGGTTGAGACCAAACTGCTCGTGAGCGTAGCGCTCCCAACCCATGGTGGAGGCAGCCTCGACGGAGAGGACGGGGATACCGTCGGGGAGAACCTTGAGCTTGTACTCCTTGTCCTGGGCATCGAAGACCTCGAAGCAAGGAACGGAGACAACACGGGCAACAACGTTGTGCTTCTCCTTGAGGTAAGCGGCAGCCTCGATAGCGATGCTGACCTCGGAACCAGTCGAGATGATGGTGACGGCAGCGTTGGGGGCCTCGATGGCGACGTAGGCACCCTTCAGAGCAGCCTCAATGCTGGAGTTCTCAAGCTGGGGCAGGTTCTGACGGGTAAGGGCCAGAATGCTAGGGGTGTGCTTGGAAGTGAGGGCAGAATAGTAGGCAGCGCTGGTCTCGTTGCCATCAGCGGGACGCCAGACCATGCAGTTGGGGAGAGCACGGAAGTGGGCCAGGGTCTCAATAGGCTGGTGAGTGGGACCGTCCTCACCCAGACCGATGGAGTCGTGGGTAGCGACGTGGATGACGCGAACGCGGGAGAGAGCGGACAGACGGACGGCACCGGCAGCGTAGGAGACGAAGTTCAGGAAAGTACCGGCAGCGGGGATGACGGTACCGTAGGCGGCAAGACCGTTCATGACAGCAGCCATGGCGTGCTCACGGACACCGTAGCGGAGGTAACGGCCGGACCAGTCACCAATGTTGTACTCAGGGGGCTGGAAGTCGACGGCATTCTTCCAGCGGGTGTTGTTGGAACCAGTCAGATCAGCAGAGCCGGAAAGCAGCTCGGGAATGACACTGTGGACCTTCTCCAGGACGGCCTCGGACAGCTTACGGGAGGCGACAGCGGGGTCGGTAGGCTTGTAGGTGGGCAGACTCTTCTCCCAACCCTCAGGAAGCTTGCCAGCAAGACGACGAGTGAGGTCAGCGTGCTCATCCTTGTACTCAGCGGCGTACTTCTGGAAGAGCTGGTTCCACTCCTGCTCCTTAGCAGCACCCTGAGAAGCAGTCTTGTGGTAAAGGTCGTAGACCTGCTGGGGGACGACGAAGCTCTGCTTGGGGTCGAAGCCGAACTTGGTCTTAACACTCTCGGCATCATCAGCCTTGAGGGGGTTACCGTGAACACCACCGGTACCCTGCAGCTTGGAGCCGAAACCGATGGTGGTGGTAAGACGGATGACGGAGGGCTTGTCCTTAACCTCACGGCACTCCTGGATGGCCTTCTCGATGGCGTCAAGGTCGTTATCACCGTCCTTGACCCAGACGTGGTGCCAGCCGTAGGACTCGAAACGCTTCATGACATCCTCAGTGAAAGCACACTTGGTGTCACCGTCTGTTCATTGTGAGGATACAACGTTTAGCAAAACTGCCACAAAGAAAATAGAGAGACTTGATCGCTTACCGATGGAGATATGGTTGTCATCATAGATGGCAATGAGGTTACCAAGCTTCAGGTGACCAGCCAAAGAGGCAGCCTCGCTGGCAACACCCTCCATAGCACAGCCATCACCGAAGAAGGTGTATGTGTAGTTGTTGATGAGATCGTAGCCGGGCTTGTTGTAGATAGCGGCAGTGTGAGCCTGGGCAATAGCCAGACCAACAGCGTTAGAGAAACCCTGGCCAAGGGGACCGGTGGTGACCTCAACACCGGGGGTGTCGTGAGCCTCGGGGTGACCGGGGGTGATGCTGTCGAGTTGCTACGGGGAGGGTTCCAGTTAGACCGTCTAGTTCCCTCAAACTCTGGATTTCAGTGGGAGACATACTCTGAAGTTCTTCAGGTCATCCAGGGAGAGCTGGTAGCCGAAGAGGTGGAGAAGAGCATATTGGAGCATGCAACCGTGGCCGTTACTGAAATGAAGTTATCAGCAAGGGATCTTAAGCTTACGGGAGTAACAACACCGGGAACTTACGAGAGAACGAAACGATCACGGTTGACCCAGTCAGGGTTCTGGGGGTTGAAGTTCATGAACTTGTTGAAGAGGACGTGAGAAACGGGGGCCATGCCCATAGGGGCACCGGGGTGACCGGAGTTGGCCTTGGAGGTGGCATCGACCTACCGATCATGATATTAGTATGATGTCAACCGATCAATAACAAGGAATGGCTTCTGCAGCAGTTCTCATGTCTCAATGCACAAGCTTTCGCTGTGGAAGACGACCAGAAGGGGATTGAGGCTCTGGGGCAGTAATTGCCATTGGCGGTGATGAACCGCGAGACATCCCATGGACATCCGGATCCAGCATACGGCTGACACTGGTATAGCTAGAGATTTGCAACACTCCCTTTCCGCATGGAATACTGGAGGACCGGGGACGGGCATATAAGGAGATGGGAGAAGAGAGCATACCGCGAGAACACGGATCGTGTTGATAGCCAATTGATCCAAATCAGTGTAACCCATGATTGCAGAATCTAATGCGGGTGAAGGTTAGTTAGACAGCTAGCTTTCGCACCTCAACGGTTGAGAAGGAGGATGAGGGGGACGTACTATTCCTGTTCTTCCTCGTAAATTAAGAGTCAAGGGAAGAAGAGATGAAGAGGAATGAAGAATAAGAGAGGAGAGGAGATGAGAGGAGAAGAGAGAAAGAGAAAGAGAGAAGAAAAGAAGAAGAAGAAGAGGAGAGGGAGTAAAGGACCGTGGACGTGCTGAGATGGCAATGAATAATGATGGAGGGGTCCAGGACTCGCATTGATTGGCAAGTGGGGGAGGAATGATGTCTTCCGGTGGGGCTGGCGATGCTCACCGGTTGCTGCACTCCTGATTCCATCTCTGTTGAGAAAATAATTTGAAGAAAATAATATAGAATAAAACTAAATACGGCAATAATCCCCTGTCCTACCTCATCTCATAGCCATTGAGGACTCACTCTGACAGCGCATGCTTTGCCCAACCTCCTACTATCAAATGCTGTCAGTCCACCGGATTCAATCAAACTTTCGTCGCATCCCAAGCTGTGGCTGCCTCAGGAATCAACCGTGCCCCTCCCCCGAATTCGGCAATCAACAATAACTACTTGAATGACGGAAGAGCTGGAAACGAAGGGCCTCCTGACCCAAGAGAACCCTAAATTCATCCATTTCAAAGGCCGTCATTATTAATAGATATATCTACAAGGCTTAATCCTCAGAAAAAAGGCCCGGCCATAGAGAAAGATACCGGATCTGATATTCGAAGTACTACTACTCCGCAAAAAAAAAGGGCCATCTACCCCTCCAAACCCCTCCAGAAACTCTCATGCATAAAGTACCCGATTATCAACTATTGACAGATCAACGGATGCGTTGGCCCCTCTCGCGCATCTCCCACATTCAAAAGTATATATCTGCTCCGTAATGCTTACCACAAGAATTATAAAGAATCTAGACGGCGATAGACATTACCCAAAGTAACTCCCATCCCCATAGACAAATAATCAGCCGGACCAGCGTAGTCCTGGCCGTCGTCCGAACAACACACACCGAAGGCTGGGTCCCGGAGGACTTTACTCCGATGGCACCCCCATGCGACCGTCCAGAATTTTCTTTTACCTTGCTGAATATAGTATTTTTCCGTTTTTATTTTGGAGGTCAATTAAACCGTGGGGGACCTTTGCAAACATTCTTAATAATAATAAAAAAAAATCCAGGCACATTGGTAGTTTCCATCAAGGTCCTCACTAGTAGTACTGAGGTACAGACCCTGCTGCTGCACCCCGTATGTGTCTGTACTGTACATCAAAATATACACTTCGCGCAAGCCATTGGACGTCATATGCGGGTAGACATGGATCTCATCAGCAGCTAGAAAACACATCCCTGGTTCGAGTTACACATCGAGAATGATCTCTTCCCCAGGTTCTCACCACCAAATCAGCAACGGCTTTCCCAATCAGGCCAACCCGACGGCATACCTGCACACTGAAGTCAATGCCACCAGGTATGGTATGTACCTCGCAGTTAGTAGTATATCCCGAAGTACAAAGTAGGTAAGTATGTAATGTACCTCGGCGGAAGGAAGTGTCAAAGGTACCTAGCCGAGAAGGTCGAATGGTCATGAAACGTCGTCTTGGACCATATCATGATTCGGATAGGCTAGAGTCGCCGTCTACGGCCTTGGTTTGATCACCATGTTTCATATGCTGAACTCCGGTCGTACCCGACTTCTGTATGCACGGCACGTCGCGTTTCCATATGCGACAGGCTACAGCAACTTAAAGATCTTGGACAACCCCGCATTCAATCCTTAGCGACGGCCTCCA